CCACAGGGGGGGAAGCACACATGAGAGAGAATGTGTGACCTCGGGCAGCGTCCACTCACATGTGAAATGTCTCCGCACTCAGTTCCTGTCCACTCAAAGGCATCACTTCCCCCTCCCACCTCACACCACAAAGACAAACACATCCAAAGCACGTACGCCAAGGCTGGCAAGCAATTCATGGCTAGGATTAAGAACCCACAAATATAGTTTGGGTTTGAAATATTGATATTGCAGTAAGTCACATGAAAGAATAATATATTTTTTAAAAACTCGCTCAGCAAATCCATTTCTATAAAAACAAATCAGGAACTCTCAACTAATTGTCAAATTATCAAACACTGACTTTTAGACTACCCACTCTTGAAACAGTGGAGAAAACACAAATAGGCAGGAAACAGAAACACGTATACCCAGACACACACCCAAGAACACAGTGCAAGAATTCATTTCAATCCAGAGCGGCTGGGACAGCCAGTGCCTTCAGAGATCCAGGGGTGTCCCAAAATGGAGGGGGGCAGCCTGCAGACTTCAGATGTAAAAGCTGCAATGCCACCCGAATGTCCCTGACTCTGGGGGTTGCAGTCTGTCATCCTCAACAAGCCTGCCCCCATCTGCTGCCGTGTCAGAGGGAGCACACCACCTTACGGTCCTGATGCGACAACAACCAGAGGACCGCTAAGAGAAACGGGAAGCCGCCGTTTCAGGGGAATGAGTATCCTTCTTCTCATGCCCCATTCTGCTTTTTCTTCAAAGGACTCAGGACGTTCTTGTTACACTCCATCAACTTCATGAATTTCGAAAGCCCAGGAAGACGAGGTCTAAAATCGAATTGAAAAGGACACCCCGAGAGACAAGGTCTTGGCTTGAGTCAGTCCCCTCTGCGGCTGCTCTCCTCCAACCTCTAGAAGACAGACGGCTAGACCAGGCACTCACCAGCCCACCGCCCTGCCTGGCCACAGCCAGGGAGACTCCTCCAGACCCATCACCTCCAACTCCTGTGCTGCACTTACGCCTGTGCTGTAACCCAGGCTGCGGCTTCCTACAGGGGCCGTCCATCCACAGCCAGAGTGTCAGCCCGGGATTGGCGAGGCTGGTAGGCGAGCCAGTAACACTTCTGCAATGTTCTGAAACCAGTGCTCAGACTCCAAGGTCAGAGGAAGATTCTGCCTGAGACCTAACAATCAAGTTGAGGAGGAAGTGCTATCACCAGCTTTTCAGCAGAGACAGTGGGGCTGAGAGAAGGGGCAGAAATGAGGTGACACAGACAGGAAAGCCAAGTTTAGACGCAGCTTCCCCCGGCTCTCCTCCACCAGCAGATTATTCATGCTGACAGGTTGCAGGCTAGTGATCCAGCATGTGGATCAGTAGATTTTGAATGAGAAAATGTTAATACTAAGATTGAGTTTAGACACTTTTAGTCTACGCCTTTTTCTGTAAAGGGTCAGACGGTAAATCCCTTTGGCTTTGCGGACCAGATGGTCTCTGTGGCAACTACTCAGCTCTGTGGTCCTAGCGCAAACGCAGCCACAGACGTGACTGAACAGGTGTGGCTATGTTCCAATAAGGCTTTATTTACAAAAACGGGGGTGGGGGCAAGTCTCATGGGCCATACTAGGCTAGCCCCTGGTCTTATGAGGTCACCCAGGATTAGGCCGTTATAGAGAGGAAGCCATCCCCCGGATGACAAGTCACACCAAGCCATCAAGGACCCCAGAGTTTCATGGAAGTGCTACACAAACCCCGCTTGGAAAGCAGAAGCAGCCCCTGCACCAGGTGCAGCGAGGGCTCCTCCTCACACGTCTGGACGCAGCGAAGATGGACAGCTGGGGCGGGCTACGCTACATAACGTTTAGCATTTCTTTTAGTCCACAACTCAAGTAATAACTGTTTTAGGCTATCAGGTAGTAAGCACAGTCTTTCCATCTTTACAAGCAGAACACGGCATCACCTTGCCACATCCGCTTTCCAGCACACTTCTAAACAGCTCTATCCTCTCCCTGCAAAAGAGATTAAAACCACAGAAATCACCCTGCCTCATAGCGTGTTGAACATTTTTAACAGCTGATCCAAACTGGAACTCAAGCCCCTGTATGTCTTCCACCGGCTCTGCTCCAAGTCAGCATTACAGCCACAGAAAGGGCGCCTCCCTTTCATCTTTTATAAAAACATTTTTTGAAGAGTTAAGAGTATATTTTAGGCTTTTTATTTTTATTAAAACTTTGTGTGCGTATGTCTGTGTATTATGCAATTTGTCATTTTCAGAAAGGAAGAACAGTCATTTCAAGAAGTCTCTACTGTACTCCAGAATGTCCCAGTCTCCAAGGCCCACCTGGAGAAGACGGCAGAGCCTCGTCAAGGGGCTCCAATGCCGGTGAATCAAGAAAACCATGGACGTGTACTGCTGGCCTCTGCAGCGTACCAGAGCCCGTCGCTGTGCGTCGGTGTGAGCTATAGCATCACCAACAAATGGCAAGATCAAGTGATATCACTGGAAAAGTCGATGGAACTTTCTACTACCATGTTAATAACCTCAAGCCCCTCAGCCATGAGGCAAACATGTTCCAGTTTTTAGCCTAGAAGCATTTGTTTCTACAGAACAATCTACTGAATCCTGAGCTTGGTGCTGTTATCGTATGATTAACCAATTCTGATGTTTTACAGATTAAATATCTAGTAAACAGACTTCTTGATGCTAAAAGAATTACAATTCATCCTTGAAACATTCCACATGAGCCATTGCTTTTCTCACATGGCTCCTTCTTAAAACTCTGATGTCAGGGCCAGCCCTGGTGGTGTAGTGGTTAAGTTCAGTGTGCTCCACTTTGGCAGCCCGAGTTCAGTTCCCGTGTGTGGACCTACACTGCTCTGTTAGCAGCCATACTGTGCTGGTGGCCCACATACTAAAAAAATAGAGGAAGAATGGCACAGATGTTAGCTCAGGGCTAATCTTCCTCAGCAAAAGAAAAAGAACTCTGATGTCTTCCTCAAAAATACTCAAAGTCCACCCAAGGAAATTATTAATAATGGAATCAGAAAACTGTGAGGGGAAGAAACATTTATTCCTGTGTGAAAATGGAAGGAATAATCATGAGTTGCTGAGTTACCCATTCGCTAATCAAAACTTGGACGAACTGACCACCTAATCGAGCACAGATTTAGGATTCTCCTTAGTCCCCTGACTGGGCACAAACAAAATCCTAGGTTCCAGGAAAAGTGCTGGTCACTTGGATGCCACAAAATGGAAAAGTGAAAACACTGGCACAGAGTGAAATGTCTTCATTTTCAAATCCTTTTGCCCAGACCGAGAGACACAGTAATGACAAAATCTCCATTTTCCCCACTGCGTGTGGGCTGTCCTTGGGGGGTGGGGGGGGAGGCGGCGCAAGGAAACCTACGCCACACCCCACTGCTCTGCCACCGGCGGACCCAGCAGGCAAGGGCTCCACCCAGCGTCAGCCAGCCTCCAGCACCTTCCCTTAGCTGGAACTCCTCCCGCTGGCAAACTACTGCCACCAACGCCTGACTCAGACGTGGAGGGATTCACTGAGCTACTTTTCTTTTACAAAAAATCTTTCTCTTTGCAGTCATGCTCAAATAGGAGCCTGGAGAACACAAGAGCATCTACACCTCAGTGCTGAATCCTCACCATAAAATACAGCTCAGATCTATCAATGGTATTCCAATGCACAGGGTAAAGGAACTCTCTTTAAAAACCAGCTATTTACTTTTCTTTTAAATAAAGGAAACGCAATAAATGTAAGCCCCTTTACAATCTGAGGCTCTCATGAATCAATACAGTTGCACTTTGCCGGACCAAGCCTTACAGCAGTTTCTTAGACCCAAGACTGTTGACTTTTGGGCCTGGCTCATTCTGCTGTGGGACTATCCTGTGCATTGCAGGATCTTTAACAGCATCCCTGACCTCAACCCACTAGATCCCAGTAGAACCCTCTCCCGGTCCTAAGAACCAAAAATGTCCCCAGACATTGCTAGATGTTCTCTGGGGCCAAGAAGGTCCCCAGGTGAGAACCGCCGCCCGACTGGATTCTTCCATGGTCTCTGTGGGACAAATAAGGCTAAGCACCTGGACTCCCACAGAGTCGGTGAAATGCTGCCAAAGGGACCTGAGGTTTGGCCACATCACCAGCAATGTTTTCCACAGCATGGATCCTGTGCCAGTTCCCCCCAAGGAAGACACACCCAGAATGTTCCAGGAAGCACCAACCTTCCCACCTCTCATGGGTTCATGCTATCAAGGCTGGGCCTCTACCTCACAGATGACCCCCGGCTTACACCAAATTCCATTCCCTGACCCCAACTCTCCAAATCCCTCCCAGACCCCCTGGGTTCCCCGAGAAGACTTCCACCTTCTTTGGAGTCACAGAGAGTTCCCTGGAATGAAACCAAGACTAGACCTGTAGCCCTGGCTGCAGGCTCCGCCCTGCTCCACAACCCTGTGCAGGTGTTTCTCCTTTGGTCTCAGAAGCCCCATCTGTAAAATGGGCAGGGGACATGACTGGATAGGACCCTCCACAGCCCCTTCCTGTTTTGGCACATTCCAGGTCACTCTATGGCTGCCAGAGGCTTCAGGCCTGGACATGACCCACTGGCCATGGGCTGGCACAAAAGTGAACTTTCCCCGAGAGGTCAGAGCCAGGGCCTGTTCTTCACAGAGAGGAAGGTGCCCCAGTGCTTCGCTGGCATTAAGCAGCTGTGCAGAAGGAAACCGCACATCACTAATCAGCTCCCTTTCACTCTGCTGGACACTGAATGCAGCTAGGAAGCAAAAGATATTTTTGGGTTAAAAATATGAGTATTTTTGTGGAAAACCTGCTACTTGTTTTCATAAAATAAAGTGCTGTGATGTCCTACACCTCACTGCCTTCTCATACTTTTATCTTTATCACTAGAAGGAAATAGAAAATAACTCCCAAACCAGAAGGACCCTTGTCCCCCACACTGTCATGGAATTATCACCTACATACACAAAAGAGAAAAAGTAAAACCAAATGTTGATGTATTGAGTCCCTGATTTTAACAGCTCCAAGTCAGTCCTTTATTCAGGTTTGACAGGGCCCTCCCCACAGAGACCCAACAGACCAAACTAAGGCATCTCCAATTCAGTTTGACCTGTCTACTTCTCAGGTGATTTATAATAATTTTTTCATCGAAACATCAGTTCTAGAATGAAAACCTGAGAAGACCCAAGTGAAGTTCCGAAAAGCTTCAAGAAATTTAAAACACTCTTTGATATTGCCGGGCTCTTTTCACTCCAGTCCTTCTATCACAACTCCTCCTCCTCCCCCTCCTCCTCCTCGTCCACACTTGTGCTTTCTCCATCAGGCATGCGGCTCTCAGACTCCTCTTCCTCCTCCCGAGCCAAGAGCTTCTTAAAAACTTCAAACTCCTCAGCAGAAGAACAGGCTGTCCTGGCCAGAAACTCAGCTTCTGAAACTCTGAGAATGTCCTTGAGTAAAGGGTTGGGGACCTGCGTCTGCCCCTTCTTATCAGGGGTCTGGTACCGTCCTAGGCGCTCGAGGAACGTGTGTCTCTGCTTGGTCTTGGTTATGGGGTACTGCAGGAAGTCGGTCCTCACCACGTCCACATGTTTAACCCCCATCCTAAAATAGGCATACTGGACACAGACACAGTTAGGAATCTCAGGCGCAGAACCCTAAAACCTGTCACTCCACAATCCGTACTACACTCAGGCTGTCCAAGAGCACTCAAAAAGAACTGCCTAATTAACCACGGCAGACCATCCTTGATACCCAACATCCGGATGATGGCTGACAGTTTTCAAAGCATTTTCAAGTTCATATTGAGGCAAATGCAACAGAAAATGAAGGGGCAGGAGGAAAAAATTAAGCTCTATTTTTCTTTAGACAGGGGAAGAAAAACTAAGAGTATGGAAAGAATAAGCAAAAAATTCAGAAAACAGCTAGGGATGTGACCTAAGTCATCATAATCGTCACCAAAAAGTTAAGACAACTGTCACAATTATATTTCTAAAATCAACATGCAAAATAGGTTCTAAAGATAGGAAGATTTTAGCTATTTTTAACTTGGCTATTTCAAACAGGCCCCATTTGGACTCTGGGAATAGGGCTGGGTCATTCATTATTAATGGCAGAAAAGTTGCAGAATAGGCTTTATCTGTAGTAAAGAAGTGAAAGGAGTGAAACCCAATTCTCTTTGGCTGGTGCGTGGAGAGGACAGAGGCCCTCCACCTGTCTACTCGCCCCAGGGTGCCTGAGGCCTCTTATCCATACAGTGGACCCACACCACACAGTACCTGCTGGCACTGCCAGTCACTCTATCGGTCACTCTCACCTGGAATTTGTACTCCAGTGCACCAGGGTCCTCCCGAAGAACGTAGGGGCATCTGTGCAAAATCTCCGTTACCTGCTGTACCGTGAAAAGGCACTTCTCCTTGAGAACCCTGACAACACTGTCAATGTCCCGCTGACGCATGGTGAAAATTTCAGGGCAACAGTGAAGGACTCTCTTTAGTTTCCCTGAAGAACATAAAAAAGGGCAAGTGCATAAGTTCAGGATATTCCAAAACCCACCAGGCTGGCCACACCCAATTCAAGTTAGCCTGGGTCTTCTTAGAGGCCTGGGATAGGTCTTCCCAGAGGCACCATGGAAGGGGATGGGCCAGAATGACACACCTCCCCACTGACTCCCTCCCACTTCTCAGACTCACCAGCCCTCCCTCCCTGGAATAAAGAGGAGGCCTCTTTCTGGCTGAAAAAAGGCCTACTTCATATCCCAGGTCTCCTCCTCCTGCCCTCCTTGCCCAGAAAAGAATTTCACAGGGAGTTCCTGGAACGGTGAGACAGTTAAGATGGGATAGTAGCTTCCCCCGTGTTGGCGCTTTGGGTTCTGTTTCCTTCCATGATAAAACAGTCACAGAAGCATTCACAACCAACAATCTTAAGACCTGGGAGCCTGAACTCCACGAAAAGAAGTTCCCTGATGATAACTAATGTAATAATAAGAATAATCATGATGCACAACCACAGATACCGGTGTCCTAGTTAGTGGGGTGACCATGTATTTTATCCAAACTAGTGCACTTCAGAGTGAAGAAGTCTCTATTAATAATTGCATTAGGATAACTGGTACAACCTGAGACTGTCCCAGGCAAATTGGGGCATATGGGCTTCCTGTGGGTAGGAGGACAAAATCTAGTAACTGGAAACTTAAAATCCCTTATTTAAACTGTTAATATAAATCTTCCTAATAGCTGAGTTAGTAATTGTCTTCTTAAATGTGTCAGGAATGAATTTCAGTTTAGACTTTATACCTGCCTCTTAAGGCTGGGCGGAGCTTGCTAATTAATAATCATAGCACATAAGGTATTAAGTTTAGCCTTTTAGGTTACACTGCAATGGGAAACCTGTTAAAAGAAACACACAAGGCCATCTTTTTGCTTATCTTCTGGAGGAGGCCTATTGATCCTCTGAAATAGTGGCTCACCAAACCTTTTCTTCCCTGCAACAATCTACCAGTAAGAGTCATGAATGAAGAAAGAATAATGGAACTCCTCTGGTCAAAGTGGGGAGGGGTTCTTGGAGACCCGCATGGGCCCCCAGCCCCTTTTCCAGGAAGCCCATAAACAGATCCACTGAACTTCCAGGATCCTTGAGGTATGAATCCTGTTGGAAGTGGGGGTGAGGCTGGAGGGAACAGCCACTCCACCAATTTCCTAGGAGCCTGGGAAGATCTCATGTTCCACAGCAAATCAAGACACCTACCTGGAATCCAAGTCTTTAGCAGGAACTTGGTCATAGTCACACATATCAACATCACACACTGACATGTATCTGCTGAGCACACACCAGGTGACCAGCACTGTTCTAGATGCTAGAACCCCCACAGTGAACAAACCAGACAGGAGTCCCTTCCAATTCTCTCTTCTAGTCCCCACCCTCCCCTCTTCCCTCTAACAATGCCCTCTGCAGAGGTCACTCCTCTCCCTCACCTCCAAGCCAAACCACACATTGCTCTCAAGGACTTTTCCCCAGAAACCTTCCCTAATCCATCTCACCTAGGCTATTCGTTCCCTAGCTCTGACTCCTCTCAGCGCTATGTATAAAATCTGCACCTTCTTGTACCTTCTCCAAGCGCAAGCTTTCGCAGGTAGCTGGAGCGCTTCTTCATGTGCATTATAGGCAGTTGCAATAACTGAGGATTTTTCTTCAAGGCCACATACACAGGCTCTGGATTCAAACCCAAGAGTATTAATTCTGAAATGATGTCCAGCAACTGTTGAGGGTGGGTGCCTGGTCGTATACTGAGCAATTCATTAACGTGGACATCACTGAAACCCATGTCCAGGAGGGAACTGATGACCTTCTCTCGCTCCGAACACCCTCGATCCACAGGAGTCCTCTGATTCTCAAGGAGGCACTGAGTAAGAGGTGTCCTGCACTCTGGTTCCTGCACGTACTTTTTGGGTTCACTACAGGATAAGTCCTCAAGGCCCCCTCGACTGGAGGCTGTGGTCAGTTTACGCAACAAAGAAGCAGTTGTCCTTTTCTGCTCTCCAAGATAGGGCGGCTGCCTAACAACATGGGCCCAAATGAGGGGCATCAGGCGGTGCCAGCCAAAGACCTATAAGAGACAGGACCAAAAGCGGATTATTTCCTCACCACCCCAATAGACACTACAGGATTGTTGAACCAGGGTATTTAGTGCCTTGGACCCACATAAACATAACAGTTTTTATAAGCAATCTGCAAAATCTTATCCAACCTCAGCCTACAGAGAAGGAAGCTCACAAATGGAGAAGAGAGTGTTGCTAAGAGCATAGAGATCAGAGAGTCAAGCAAGTCTCTGTGAGCTTTTGCTGCTATAACTGAGGAGGGAAGTAGGCAGGAACAGGGGAGAACCAGTTTAAGATGACCTGGTAAAGTCTGCCTACCTGGGGAGACAACATTTTCCTCTACCCTCTAAGGTTCAGTGCCCTGGGTGGGGGGGCGGGGCTGAAAATTTAACTGACAACAGACAGATTAACACGAGGGGAAAAAAAACACACAAAGTTTAGTCATATACATATAGCAGGTCACAAAAGAGGTAGCTCCTTAAATGACTAAAGTTAGGGGCTAACTTAATAGGGGAGACAGAGGGGGAGAAAAAGCTTCCATGGGAAGAACAAATGGGTTTCTAGAGGAACAAAGGGAGATACGAAAGTTTGTGATAATGTTTGCTTATGCAGGTGCAAGTGGTCTTTCTTTTTCCTTCAAGGCCATAAAACTCCCCAGGAGAGGGACTCCATGGCAGCCTCACTCCCAGAAGTTTCTACTTTTAGTGACGTAAGGAAAGCTCCGAGAAAGCTTCTTCCTGTATCAGCTGAATCGCAAACGTCTTTAGTTTAAAATAATCTTCATGCCAACTCTGGGGGTCTGAGTTGCTATCCACACCTGAAAAATCTGGACCTCATACTAGTCTCCCGATTCATGTACCTAAATTCATTCCGCAAAAAGAATCCTGTTGGATATAACTGGTCTAGCAGCCAACTTGTATGCAGAATTGCCGTTTACGTCAAAACTCTTCAGCGGTGCAGGCCAGCGCGTAACCGACCAGGCACAGATCGCTCAGGCACTCACTCGCTTCGCACCCCGTCCCAAAGCCCCTGCAGCGTCATCTACCGTCGTACCCGCCTCGGTCAGTCGGGTGAGTACCCGACGCGCTCACTTCTCCCTGGCCTCCCCCTCTCGCCCTGTGGGTGGTCCAGATACTCCCTCGGCCAGATTCACTCGCGAGTGGGGCCCAGCGAGGGCCGAGAGGAGCTGGGCTAACCGCGCAGTGAGTGCCTCGGGTCCAGGCGCGACACCACATCGGCGTGCACCGGCCTCCCCGGGAGGCTCTGGCTGCGAGATGCCACGGCCTGCCGTCACACACCCCGGTGGCAGCAGTGGCTCCTCCGCGTCCCTGCCCCCGTCCCCGGGGAGCCTGGGTACCCGGCCCGACCTCACCTGGCGGCCAAGCGCCGCCATAGCACGGAGGTGGCGCCTGCGACCCCGAGCCGGAAACGGAGCCCTCGCCGGTCCTCCACTTCCGGCCTCCCCGGTCCGCTACTTCCACCCTCCCCCTCGCAAGCGCGAGTGCGCGGGAAGCGCGTTCCGCTGCGGCCCTGCTCGCAGCGCGTCCAGCGTTGGGGCTTCGCGCCGCCCGGCTCCCGCCGGCGCCGTGGGCCTGAGGCCGCGGGCCCTCTGCCTCTGTGCCCGGCTCGCCCACTTTCTGGAGCTGTCGGCCAGCGCAGCCAGTGCATAGCTCCGCCGGCATACTTTTGCTTCCTATTACTCTAGAATTCCTCTTAAGAGTAGAGGTGAGATGCAGCCATAACCTTGGTGGACCCACCGTTCCCCGGCGCAAGTGACTCCCCCGGGAAAGCAGTATCTTTCCCGAAGCAGTTTCGTGTTGGGGTGGAGACCAGGCCGTCTGGGTAAAAACGGAGTCGGGCCCAGATAAGGTTATTCAAGATCCTGTGTAAACCCGTCTCCAACACGAGCACTGAGGACAGGAAACCGAGGCTGAAGCAGTTAAAGTTTCGCTGGATTAGGGTGAAACTGTGCCTCGTACCCACAAGGTTAACGTGGGAAATAAAATAACCAGAGTTTCTGAGCTCGCCTTGCAGAACAGCAGGACCCCTGATAAGAGAGGAACTTGCTGACAGCCCGTGCCTGACTAGGCATCCTGCAGGAGCGCTGAGAAGCTGAAATGACTGACTGTAAACTTCAGACAAAGGAGGCTAAAAATCCACTGCGTGCCCCACATAGAACAGACAGTGAGCCTGTGCGGAGGACTCTTAGAACTTCAGCCCCAAGGCCACATGTTCCCCTTCCCCTACCTAAAACCCCAAATAAAAACCCTTGCTTGCAGCTTTTCTGGGAGTTTGGGATTATGCATCAGCTGCCTGTTCTCCTTGCTCAGCGCTTTGCAATAAAATTCCTACTATCTTCCACTAGCCCAGTGGCAGAGATTGCAGGACGGGTGAGCGAACTCACTTCAGGTTTGATATCAAATTTGGTGACCCAGATGGGACCTAGTCCCAAGTGGATGTCTCGCCTGTGGCACACGGGCCTCTGGTGGACAACCTCTCATGGAAGCTGTGCTGCAGCTGCCGGAGCCCCTTGTGTCAGGGACAGCCCCAAGCAACTGGCTGCTGATGAGACGTTGTTGACCCACGGCACTTTTGCTTTTGGTAGTGGAAGAAACGAGGTTCAGGACTTGTGAAAACGTCTCTTGTAAGTAGCTGTCAGTTTTTGTTTTTCTTTGTGCTAACCTTTTCCAATAGGACCAGCCAGAAGTAATGGGTGATAAGAGCTCTGTTACACCTGGCAGCCGTCTGGGCTCCGTTTGTTTTGGTTTGCAATGAATGTCCTTTTGTTGAGTTTCCCCATTAACTAATTGAAATCTTATTTTTCCTTTCATTTGTTTGCCTCTGTTTCGGGGATTTTGTTCCATGTTACTGGAGTTCGTTAGGGGGTGGGAGCGCCAATTTATTGAAAGGACTAGAGGTTTTTCACTCACAGAGGAACTTTGGTCCCATTTGTTTTGATACGTGTGTGTGCATGTGTGTGTGTGTGGTTCCATAATGGGAAACTCAGGTTCGGTTCCCAGTGACAGCCCTCTAGGTTGTATATTGTAAAATTGGAATGTTTTCAATTATGAACCTATGAAAAGGAAAAAAATAAAAGCCAAAAGGCAGAAATCACAATGAGAAATCTGACCAAGAATCATTTGGGGCAACAGGCCACTAAGGTTGATAAGATTATAAAGATTAAAATGTTTGAGCTAATAATATACAGAGGTTATGTCAACTTCGCCTAAGTGTTTTTTGGGAATGGATGTTATGTCCAGCTAGGAATGCCTCCCTTACATAGTATTGTAAGACCAAGACTTGTTAATGGACTCTTAATGGAAGCTGTGATTAGAGGTATAAAAGTTGATAAAATGAAGATAAAACTTTTTAAAATTGGTATATTTAAATGGACTTTATGTGAAATGATTGTGTCTCTTTTGCCTGATTGTATTTTTATGGATTCTCTTGTGGGGCTAAACATTGTGTCTCAGTGGGGAATGTTTCCCCTGCCTGATATTGTAAGAGCATGTAAATCCACTCTTTAGGCAATGTTAGTTAAACATGCTAAAGAAGACTTCACTTTAAAATAGCCATACTGAGGAACCTCTATTTCAGATAAGTCTGCTTTAAGGGTCACCCTTAAGAGATAATTCAAAACCTCTCACAAAAGAATGCATCCTTTGATTAATATGCAGAAGCTTCTAAAAGACAAAATGACTTCAAAAACAGCTCTAAAAATGATCCTAACGGTAAAAAGAATGGAATCTTTAGTAAAGATCTTTGGCCATCTGAACAGGTTTATCTGCCAGAGGAACAGTTTGGATCCAACTGTGCTTTTGAGTTTTGTACCTGAGACATGGCTAAAATTTTGAAGATCTCTGTTTGTGTTTATCTGTATGTTTATATATGTAAGTCTCTCTGTGTATTTTGCTGTCTCTGGATGATATAATTTCTAAAGGAGCTCTATTTAATTGGCTTGAAGTAAGCACCTATATAAATTCTTTCTAAATGTACTACAAACTAGCCCAGATGTCTTTCAAGTTAACGTGATATAAAATGATCTTTGGTACGTAAGAGCTTGTTTAAGTTTGTTGGTTTAATTGAAATAAACATATTTTCAGAGTTTTGGTGTGGTACAAACATGTTCTCTGTTACAAAATTTGTCAGCAATAAATAATAACATAATAATAGCTGATTTTATTTGATGTCTCATGAGGTTTTTGTAGGCAACCTAAATATAATTGTTGAGAACAGATAAAATAAATAGACATAAAAAGGATGAAAATTTTGGGGGGAACTTTTTAACCATAATTATGTTATTATGTGAGTACTTAAAACAACTTAAGATGATGGCTAAGTGCTCTAATGTCACATGAAGTTTTTGTGAGCAATCTAAACCTAATTGTTGGGAACAAATGATTTAGATAGATGAAAATGGGTAGGAGTTTTTGAGTGCAATAATTATGTTTTATGGTCTGCATACTTGAAAAACAGCTTCCAAAATCTTTTTGGCAACTTGAAACTTTAGAGTTTTGCTAAATTAATGATAGAAATTTATTGAGTATCTAGGTCATTTCCATATGAGATAAAATATTAGAAATTGGTTACTAAGCATAGATTTGTCTGCCTTTGGTTTCTTATCGTAGAGAAACTGAAAGGTGCTTAGGTTTATTAATAAACATGTTTTTTGTATGGTGGGGAATTTTCTATGAAAAAATACATGTTTCTGTATACAAGGAAAGTAAAATGTATGTTTTCAGCAAAGAAGGCATAAAGCATAGAGGTATTTCTGTTTTTCTTAAGAAAGATAAATTTGTCCTAAATTACTAGGGAAGAAAAAAGAAAACATGGGACACATATGAATGTAAAAAGGTAAGTGACAGAAAGTTTGTGGAAGTAACCCTGGAGAGTTTTGTGCATCGTCAAGTTGGCTGAGATTTAAATGAATTCAATTAATTGAATGAGTTTCAATATCAAGGGTAAGCTGGTACAAAATTAGAATTTGGCTTTCTCTTTCTTGAAAGGATGATCTTTCTGAACTTTTGGTCTGATCTTGATAAAGAGATTATAAAAGCTTTTTCTTTTTCTTTTTCTTTTCTTTTCTTTTTTTTTTTTTTTGAGTAAGTCTACCTAGGAGACAAAAGTCTATACTTTGTTAAAATAATTTCTAATGTTCAAAAAGACTGAGGTCTCTCTATTAAAGTTCTTTTAACAACTGTTTGAACTCTCTGTTTGCCTTTGACATCTTCTGTTGTCACCTTGATTGAATGGATAACCAAGCATTGTTTCCTATTTGACCAAGTATTTTAAACCCTTTTGATATATTTGTCAAACTTCCCCTCAAGGTTCAAATCCTGGGTAAAGTCTTTCTTTTGACTTAAAAAGGAACTTTGAGAATTTCCAATGGGCCCTGGGACTTCTCAAAGAATTTATTCTCTCTTTCTATAGAGATATTAAACTAATTAGACTTATTTGGTATGTTAAATTACATGGAAAGCATTATCAAATGATAATAAACCTTCCTAGGTTATATTGTGTTTGTAAATGTTATTAATATAAGTGCTTTTAAAAATTATATAACATTCCTAAAATTCTGATCTGTCTTGGTTATCAATCATAATTCTGGTTATTATTTCAAAGCATTATATGTCACAAAGTGTCTTTGCCACTTTTGAATGTTTTATTTGCAGACAGTTGTTTTACTGTGATGTTTTTGCAGAGGTGTTTCATCTTTAGAGAGATTCATGGAAAGGACTCTGACACTTGCTCTAGAATACAGGTTTCTGATAAACTTTCAGATTATAAAACTGAGCTGGATAAGAAATTACAGAACTCTAATGGAGAAACTGATGACCTCATAAAACTATTAACAGAAGGTCAAGGTCAAAAATTAATTATATGAGACTAAATAAATTGATGAGGATGTTTATAATTTTTATGACTTTTTCTTTCAAATATTGCTGATTTTTTAATGTTTTGTTTTTTCAGATTTAAGAAAATCTTTTTCCCTTTTCTCTTAAGGAACTACAACTTATAGCAATTTGTAAGCAGAATTGAAGCATTTATCTTTTTCTCCCTATCTGATCCCTCTAGAATTTGAAAATGCTTGATGAGTGAGTATTCTTATTTTCGTGACAATATAGTTATTTGCATAAGTTCAATAAGAATCTGTTCTCCTTATAGCAGGACACAATTGGAAACACTAATTACCCAGGCTTTGACTTGAATGTCATATTTGAGAATGCATAAACTCAGATATGAATAAACAGCTTTAAGGGACAAGGATTGACTTTATGGAATAAAGCCACTTGGAAATATTGGCTTGGTAGCTTGCCCACAGGGTTCCCAGCAATCTTACCAGGTGAGTAAAGAAGGTCTCTTCCCTGGCAGGTGCAAGAACCTCAGGATATTTTGGGGACCTTAAAAAGAGAGGAATTCACTAAAATCTGTAGGCATTACAGGCAGAGTCTGATGACAAGTCCTTGGCTTGGCTTTCCTGGCCTTGAGAGGCATTTAAAGTTCAATCTGAAATTCCTTATGAAAAGTTCCAGCAAAGCAGATTTAAAAGAGCCTATATGATCAGTTGCTGTTCTTATGTAAATAATTGTTCCAAGTTTATTGAAACTAAACTTATTTTGTGAATCGATGAGTCTTGATTTGGCTATCTTTGGTAAAATGAGGGTGATTTTAGAGAGAAAAATTATGTTTCAATAGAAACTATAATACGCATTTGTGGATATTAGATTCTGGTTCTGTTAATTGTCTTTGAGGTTTCTGCTTCCCATCTGCAAACTAAAGCTGGACAACTTCATGTAAACTTAAGAGAGAACACCATGATAGCCCATGTTTAGACAATCTTCATGCCTGTTGCTGTATAAGCCACTCAAAAAGTTTACCTAACTACCTGATGACATCATCCGAGACATTTCAAACTGCAGGGGACACTTCAACCCTGACATCTAGAAATCTTCTTGACTGGCCATCCCCTGGCCTCAGGAATTTGTTTGTGATTTGCTCCAACCATTAACCTTGTTTTCTTTCTCTTTCTCTGGAAATGGTTCTGTTAAATATCTGATTACTTGCTTACATAATATAGGCCTAACTTTGGGAGACCCTTCCTATGTTCTAGAGATGATCCAAAAGACATGGAGAGAACTCAAATTAAGGAACTAAACACTGTCAGATGTTCCTCTGCATCATCTTTGTAGTGGAGACTGAATTCTATTAAAATCCTGGAAACACAGGCACCCAGAAGATCAACTTCATCCCTGCTGGATGGGACCATTCAAGGATGGTCACAGGGAATGGGAACCATGCCATAAAAGATCACAACCAGGACCACCCAAACCATGTCTGGCTTCATACTCTAGACACTGACTTCTCCAAATGGACAAGTGAAACTCTGATCGATCTCAAGTTGCTGTACAGGAGACGGTCCCCTAAAGATAAGTAACGAATGACTCCCACATTCTTATCTTGTTGGACCATTAGACAGCAAACTATTTAGCTACATTGGATTTCACCTGAGGTTCCAGGCCCTAACCTTGGTTGGTTTACAGACCTCTTCTCCTGGGTTCCCCAAGGATTAAGGTCCATTATGGAGGGGATACTAAAATTTGAGCTGTATATTTTGCTAATATGTGTGGTTGTCTATGTAATTATAAAGTGTGAACTTAAGTGTTGTTGCAAAGCCATTGATCAGAGTACTAAAATATCAGTCATGCAGAACATACCTCGCTCTCCCCCACCTGGTACCCAGGAATATCTTTAAAATAAAGGTAAAAGAATTTCATTCCTCTGACCTTGAACTTTGCCCTTTCGCAGCAGGAAGCAGCTAGAGCAGTCTTCACCCCCATCCCCCAAGACTGAGGAATGATCAAAAGAGAGGGGGGATTGAAATTGAGGATGAAGGAGTTAAAATTTCCCTGGATTAGGGTGAAACTGTGCCTTGTACCCTCAAAGTTAATGTGGGAAACAAAATAACCAGTTTCTGAGCCTGCCTTGCAGAACAGCAGGAGAACTGCTGATAAAGGAACTTGCTGACAGCCCCCTGCCTGACTACGCATTTTGCAGGGACATTGAGAAACTAAGATGACTGATTGTAAACTTTAGGTATCAAAGACAAAAATTCCACCACGTGCAACACAGAACAGACAGTGATCCTGTGCGGAGGACTCTTAGAACTTCAGCCCCAAGGCCACATGCTCCCCGTCCCCTACCTAAAACTGCAAATAAAAGCCCTTGCTTGTAGCTTTTCAGGGAGTTCGGGATTACAGCTTGAGCTGCCTGTTCTCCTTGCTCCGTGCTTTGCAATAAAATTCCTACTTTCTCCCACTACACCGTGTCAGGGATTGGCTTGCCGCACAACAGGTGAGCGGACTCACTTCGGGGTCAATATCAGACACACACCCACATGCACACTGTAAGACAGGTATATCCCAGAGGTGCTTAAAGTACCCAAAGGAACTCCAGAGGTCTTTACAGTGTTTAAGAAACACGACCCAAGCAATAAAAAGACAAGAACGATGGCACCTCCTGACTCAGAGGTCTGGTTTTCCTGTTGGGATGAACTCCAGTCATGTTTCAGTCTCATTTGTATTCATTCTTAAGTTTCAAATCGAGACCTGTAATAGTTCTAGTACAGAGCCTGGGCATCTTTTAAAAGGGGATAGTGTGAAAAAAAGTAAAAGGTGTGCTTTCTCAGCTGCCTAAATTCTACCACCCATAAGCCCTAAATCTTAATTTATAAGCATCTCTACTTGTTTTATTTACTTGTTTCTGAACTGAGAAAAAGGGCTTGATTCTTAAAAGGACACAATTTACAGAGTCCTTGTTCTGTAGGAGGCACTGGGCTGGGTTAAAACGTTATCTTTTTTACAAAATTATTATATCAAAGAAAAGGAAGGTTGTAATCTGTGTGGAATGAAAGAGTTGGTTGTTTTTGGTTTTGAATCTAATTTTCTTCTTAAAACACTCAACTGTCAACACCTCAAAATAAATTATGTTAATGCTTTTATACTCAAAGCCTAAGAAAATCCTGTGTGCCACCCCTACTTGCTGGAAGGAAGCAGGAACCTGAACAGCTTATCTAGCTCTAGAAATAACCGGGCGGCCAGGCAGAGATTACTCTAAAAAGTCAACAGCATCTTCAGTCCTCTGAAAACTCTGTTCTCTGGAATCACATGTGGAACATGGAGAGGAAAATCTGTCAGCCTCAGCCTCAGAACCTTTCAATCTGGATTCTTTCTGGGAAGAAAACTCTCAGTGTCAGACCTTCTACTGCCATCAAGTCAGATGAGTTTTAATTATTCTGTCTCATGAAGAAGTAACAGTTCTTGGAGAGCTAGGACTTTGCCTTCTCAGCCCATTGCACACTTGTCTAAAAGAACATTTTGCAACTTCTTTTGTGCTATAAGCATCATAAACAGCACAAGGAAATATGTTTGGGTTTTTGTCACTCTTGAAAACAGAATTCTTAGCACATCAGGAAACTCATTTGAATTCTGAAGAATAAAGGTCACTAACTTTTGCTACATGATTTTTAAACAGACTTCTAAAAGCCCTGCCTTAGTGGAGAGGGTCCCTCTGTCAGGCTCTTGCGACAGCAGGGAGACGCGGGCAGCACTTTCTAAAGGAAGAGGACGGCGATATCCCGTATCCCAGTAGATGAGAATAAAATGAACTGTTATCTGAGCCTCCTACAATATGAAGACTGTTTAGTGCTTCCTAAATGAACACTGGAAACTGAGCGCTGGACCAATACTGGAGGCAGCCTGACCCTCAGCGTCTTCCAGAGGGCTCTGGGCAGGAGGGGGCTTGGAGCCTATGGAAGGTGATGATGTCGAAAAGAAGCGGTGAGGGGAGTCTTGGTTTCTGTTTTTGTTTCCTTCCTGCTATCTCAACCTTCCTCCTCTCCAACACAGCAAAATAGAGGCTGGATTTCATGTGCTTGAGCTGGCTGATTGTGTCTGAGAGGGGCATGGATTGGAACCTAGAGGGGAAGAGCCATCTGAGTGTGTGAGAGATGCACTGGGACCTGAGCAAGAGTGGGAAAGGGGGACAGTGACAGTCAGGGCTGGACGCCTCCTCCCATGCAGTACCACAGGTGGAGCCTGGAGCTGGACATCCCCACATAGTCACAGAGGTGGGGCCTGGGGCTGGACATCCCCACATAGTCACAGAGGTGGGGCCTGGGGCTGGACATCCCCACATAGTCACAGAGGTGGGGCCTGGGGCTGGACATCCCCACATAGTCACAGAGGTGGGGCCTGGGGCTGGACATCCCCACATAGTCACAGAGGTGGAGCCTGGGGCTGGACACCCCACAGTACCAAAGGTGGGGCCTGGGGCTGGAATCCCCCCACATAGTCGCAGAGGTGGGGCCTGGGGCTGGACACCCCACAGTACCAAAGGTGGGGCCTGGGGCTGGAATCCCCCCACATAGTCGCAGAGGTGGGGCCTGGGGCTGGCTACAGGATGTCAGGGGATGCTGAGAAGGTGTCGTGGGTGGACAGCTGAGTCCTGCCATGGAGCCCACTGCGCAGCACAGCCCAGACAGACAGTGGGCCGGCCCTGGAGAGTGGTGCACAGGGAGAAGGGAAGTGCCTGAGAACAACACAGCCTCCACTCTCCTTAGACTAGGTCCCTGTGGGAGGGACCCCCAAGATGAGTGAGGCTGACCCTCTCTCCAGCTGTGGCAAGTGGGTGCACAAATGGAAGTGCCTCGCACACCAGCATTGTGGGAGAATTCACACCATCTGAGGCAGGGTATTGTTTACAAAATTGCTGTAATTTGGGATATGTTCAAGGAAATATGTTAATGAAATAGTCCAGTCATTTGGGGAACCAGCTCTGCCAAGTCCACACATCAGAAGAGCATGTACCAAGTGAAAGGAAACAAAAATGTATGCACATGTACAACAGCAGGAAGAGAAGCAACACTCTCTGCTGTGCCTTTTGGAAGTTCATGAACTGAAAGCCCTTTAATAGGACAAAACTCAAGTGAACACTAGAATGCTTTTTCAAAGTCAAGAAAAAAATGAAGTCCAAGTCTATTTTATAAACCTAAAAGAATATCGTATCACTGGCTTTTGTTCTGGCATTTATCAAACTTGCATATGAGTCTTTAGAAGGTGAGTTGGGCCTAATTCTTGCAGAGTTCCTTTCTCCGAATGGAAGGGCCTGGAAACAAGACGGTTTCCTAACTGAGTGCAGAAGAGCAGCAGGAAGCGGGCGCTCAGCAGCCGTCAGGGGCCTCCCCTGGGGCCCAGGGCTCTGGGCAGCTCCGGCGCCTGAGCCACCTCGCTCGGGCTCCTGCTCTCCATCTCCAGGCTCGCAGTGGACAGAACTCCACTTTCTGAGGAAAGAAGATGACATTGGATCACATGGTAACAACACATGCTTCTTTCTGGAAGAATTCCTAGGAGCAAAGGACATCAGAGGGACCCTTCAGAGCCCACTGGCAATGCTCTAGAGCTCCTGGACCCTGCTGAGGTGCAGCAGAGATGTGATGCAGAGCCATCAACACCAGCTCGGTCCACTTGGTCCACTCGCCCCGAGCAGTGGTACCAGACTCACTGAGCTGCTGCTCCCCCCACCGGCTGTGCTGCCAGGAGCTTGTCTGAAGAGCCAGGGCCCCCTAGGGCCCCTGAGAGCATTGCACTCACCCCCTGTGTCCTTATCCTCCCCTTCAGCTCACTCAGACCATCTCGAGATGTGCTTCTGAAACCCTTGGCCCCCAGCCCCTGGCCCTTTCTGCGGGTGCCTCCTTGTCACAGGCTCCCATGGGCGCTCCCCCACCTTCTAAGGCCCACTGCCAAGCTCTGAACCCCAGTGGTGTTTGGGGGGGCCTCTGGAGGAGAATCAAGGCCCATTTGTTTCACAGATGACAAGCCAGCTATAGGCCCTGACATTTGTGTCCGCAACAGCATGGAAGAGGGAACCCTCCTCCTCCCAGACCCAGGCAGGTGGCATGGGGAACCTCCTTGCCCTCAGCGGGCACAGGCCACACCCCTCACCTGGTTTGTTTACTCGATACACCTCATCCCAGGTGTAGTTAGCAAGGTTCACGGGCTGCGTCACCCAGGGGTCTCCCACCAGCTTCTCCAAGGTGGTACGCTGCTCGGGGACAGGCTGCAGCAGCCCAGACACGAGCTTCATGAGATCTGGGGACATAAAGACCCACCCTAGGCATGCGGCCAGGCCAGGCTCAAGTGGAGCACCTCCAAACTATGGGGCCTGGGTCCACCTGCCAGGGGTGCCTCGGACTGGGCGGAGGGAGCCCTGGAACCCCCATTTTCAGCTATACCCCAGGGGTCCTGGTGCACAGGGCCCCCAGCTGCACTTTGAAAAAGGCTGCAGGAGATGTTTGTTGCCTCTGAAATGAAAGCTTGGAGTTCAAGATCCCACCTCACTCACTTGACCACCAAGGTGCAGAGGTTCCTAACCTCGTCTGTTCTCGGGGACTCTGGCTGTGCAGAGCTGTGAATGACACAGGTTCCCGTGACAGGAGGGCAGAGGGAGGTGGCAGCAGAGTCCCCAGATCAGTCCCCACAGGACGGAGGCATGAGCTCTGAGAAGCACCCCCAGCCTTGAGTCTAGATTTGGGTCACTTTCTCCTAACATGGGTGTCACCTCAGCAGAGCCGCCCCGAGCCTCATGGTCCCAGAAGTGTGTCCTGGGAGCCTAGTGAGAGCACATGGAACAGCCCTGTGGGTGGAACAGCATGCTGCAAGAGCTGTGGTGTCACAGGAATCCAGGACTCCAGCAAAGCTCTGGAAACCTCTTTGAGGCACTGTGTCCCCCAAATTCACATGCTGAAGCCCCAACCCCGTGTGATGGTTTTAGGAGGTGGGGCCTTCAGGAGGTGACTCAGTGAGGTCATGCAGGGCCCCCACGATGGGATTCATGCCCCTGTAAGGAGAGATGCCAGAGGGCTTGCTCCCCCCCTCTCTCTACCATGTGAGCATGCAGAGAAAAGGCAACTGTCTGCAGTACGGGAAGAGGCCCTCGCAGGAACCGAATCTGCCAGCACCTCAATCCTGGATTCCCACGTTTCTTGTCTGTGGTTAAGCCCCGGGTCTGTTGAATTCTGTCAGGGTAGCCTGAGCTGACGGAGACACAGGCTTCTGACCTAAGCCAGGAATCCAAGGCACAGACCTCATGAAGACGCTCATCACCTCACTACTTGAAAGGATGAGTGACAGTGGAAGCACAGAATGTCACGATTGGAAGGGACCTCAGAACTCTGTGGTCTGGTGTCTACCCAACCCCTGCCGGCTCCTTGGAGCTCCTCCATGTATGGGTCCTGAGGTGGCCACTCTAGACTCCTCTCTGGCCACAGAACCCACATCCGCCTCTTCGATGGGTCCTCACTTCACATGCAAACCACCACTCGCATCTGAGGGGAGCCGAACTCACACTGCTGGTTCACCAAGAGCTAGTGGTGCAATGGAAACCGCCAGGCTTCCACGTGAGCAGCTGGGGGTCAAGTCCCTCCATCGCCCCCAAGTGATGAGTTTCTAACCCAAGAGGGTGATCTCACAGTCACTGCCACAGCCAAGCTCACAGGCTGCTAATGTCTATCTCTCAGGAGAGGGCCCCTAGGATCCAAAGGGGAACACTCATAAAAATAAAATTATCGTGATATTTGGGGGCTGGCCTGGTGGAATAGCAGTCAAGTTCATGCGCTCTGCTTCAGCAGCCCAGGGTTGAGGGGTTTGGATCCCAGGCCAGACCCGCACACCGCTCATCAAGCCATGCTGAGGTGGTGCCCCACATACAAAATAAAGGAGACTGGCACAGATGTTAGCTGAGCAACAATCTTCCTCACAAAAAAAATAAACTATCGTGGTGTTTTAAAGTCATATTCAAATTATCCTTATGTTCAGATCAAAGTATTAGAGGAATAGAAAGAAAGAGAAATGAGATTATGAGCATGGACAAAGGCGCACTGCCCTTGGAGAAAGGAAGCAGAGAGAAATGCTGGGCTGCCATCTACTCAGCCCTGCAGCCCGCGCTCACCTTCTGACACTAGGTACGGGGGGGTTATCGCAGCCTCCATGGTCTCCTCCAGCTCACAGAAGGGGTTCTCCTCAAAGATCAGTGTGTACAGCGTGACTCCCAGCGACCACATCTCCAGCTCCGGCCCCCGGTAACTGCAAGGAGGAGGAAGTGCTCAGGGCATGCTGGTGCTCAGCCCCAAGCATGCCAGGCCAGCCCCGCATAGGAGCCCCGGTCCCCATGCATCACCCGGGAGTGGCTCCCAGGCAGCCTCTCTGCACTCCTCAACCACATCCTCAGAGTCCAGCATGTCTGCCCTGGGCCAGGTGCTGGCCAGGCGCCAGGGAGGGAGAGGAAAAGCAAAGCCACAGTGCTGAGGCAGCTGAGAGGCTCATTCAGGAGATGGAACACCACCCGCAAGGATGAGATGGTACACGTGGTACATGGGAGCAGGGCAGAGCAGAGTGTCTCCCGGGGCGGGGCGGGGGGGCTTCCTGGAAGAGGTGGAGAGAAGGCACAGCGGGGCCAAGCTCGAGGCACCAGGCCCACAGGAACCCGGCTCACCAGGGCAACGGGGAGCCGCAGGCAGTTTCAGAACAGGGCAGAGTGCCCTTCAGAGAGATCATGGAGGTAACACGTGAAGGATGCTCAAGGTGAGGCTGGCATGGGTGAGAAATCCTCAAGGATAAAGCAAGGTGACAGCAGCAGGGACAGAAGAAAGTGAATGAGAAGGGAGGGCATCCAGGTTTCTGGGCCAACTGAAGGAGCAAGCTCTGGGGAGAAGACGCCCAGGGGTGCACTACCATTATTTTTGCTCATCATAAACACCCTCATCCTGGCTACCATCTGCTGGGCACCTGAGATGCCGACACTGTCAGGCATTTCCGTGGTTCACCCTAATGCTCACAACACACTAGCAAGATACACATCACCTTCATTTTACATGGAAGAGGTGAAGCTGCTGCCCCACCACTGGCACCGGGTCGACTGACACATGCCTGAGGCGGGTGGTCCCTCGGGTCTGGAGCTCAGGGGGCAGTCTGGCCAGGGGAGCAGATTTGGGAAGCAGCAGCATTTCACTAGACCACGAATTTAGACAAGATGGCTGAGAGAAACTGGTGAGTGAGAAGGAGTCCAGGACAGAGCCCTCTGCCATCAGGGGGCCACAGAAAGCCTGGGGACATCAGGAGGCAGAAAATGGGGGGGGGGGGGGCCTTGACGCGGGGAGAGAAGAAGAGACCAGAGGGGAGGGGGGCGGGGGAGTGCTCAGGGTGTATGGACCACGGAGCCCTGGGCAGGAGCTGGCCAGGGCAGCCACATGGGAGGAGTCAGGCCTCAGTGACCAAGTGGGGAGGGGCCATGAGGACAGACCTCAGCACAAGCTAGAGCAAGAAAATCAGATTCAACAGCTTCTGTTCTTGTGCCATTTCTGTTTTGGAGAATGAGATTTCAAGAATTTTGGAGGCTGGGGGCTGGCCCCGTGGCCGAGTGGTTAAGTTCGCGCGCTCCGCTGCAGGCGGCCCAGTGTTTCGTTAGTTCGAATCCTGGGCGCGGACATGGCACTGCTCATCAGACCACGCTGAGGCAGCGTCCCACATGCCACAACTAGAAGGACCCACAATGAAGAATATACAACTATGTACTGGGGGGCTTTGGGGAGAAAAAGGAAAAAAATTAAAAAATAAAAAAAAAAAATCCCTTACTTTAAAAAAAAAAAAAAAAAAAGAATTTTGGAGGCTGAAGAGAAAAGCCCACTAGAGCAGAACAGCAGTCAGCAAGCTTTTTCTGCAGAAGGCCAAAGAGCCAGCATTTTAGGTTGTGGGCCACACCTGCTCTCTGCGATGGCAGCGCAAAAGCAGCCACAGACGCTGCAGAAGCCAATGAGTGTGGCTGTGTGCCAATAAAACTTTATTTATAAAAACAAGTGGCAGGCAGATTTGGCCAAGGGCCATAGTTTACTGACCGCTGGAGTAAGAGGACATGAAAATGAGGAGGGAGGAAGCAAAGTTCCTGAGGATGGGGTCTAGAGCCAGAGCTCAGAAAACCTTTGGCCCAGTCAGATGGAGAGAGTGTGCAGGATGGACGAAGGAGCTCACAGGGGGACACCTGCAGGCCAGCAGGCCGAAGAGGAGGGCGCAGGAAGCATGCAGGGCAGGGGCTCCAGGACAGGGTGGGAGCATGGCTCCCTGGGGGAGGCAGAAGGCTGCCAAGCAGCTGCTTGCCTGGCTCAGAGCCTCCAAATGCACAGAAGGGCCCCGGCCCCCTGCTCCCCTGAGAGAGTTTCACAGCCCGGCACAGGCGGTGAGGGAAGACAGCACACAGCACGTGTCACAGTCCCGGGCACAGTGGACATACAGTCCACTCCAACACTGATGACATGACAGCCATCACAGGACAGGACAGCAGCCAAGGGCACTCTGGGCACCGGGGTAACCAAATTCCATCTTAAAAGAAATGCCAAGGCCCTTCTTGGACTATCCTCCCCTTGTATCATTTGATGCTGTCTGTGGCTCTGGAGATGCACAGAGATGATAGGGGAAGGGTTTATTTAGTGCTTGCTTCGCACTCTGCTCATCACTCTGCTCACAGGGGCCGGCCCGGCATAGGGGTCTGGAACAGGTGGAGGGCTGTGGGCCCACGATGCTGCCAGCTTCAGAGGACTCAGCATGAGCGGCCTGCAACCTTTGCTTCCCGACTTCGAAAAGAAACGTGACTTGAGCAGACACTGTGATCAGAGCCCCTGGTCACTTCTCACACCGACACAGAGGGGTTTCTCTGTGAGCCCGAGGCATAGCATGGAGACAACACACAGATACTCCAGACTCAAACCACGCAGGCTCAAACCCAGCTCCGACCAGGGCTGTCTGAGTGTCCCCAGCACACCTGTCACATGAGAATGGGACCAGGTAGAGGAGCCTCAGAGGGCACAGCACAGAGCTGCAGTGACAGGCAGCAAAGGACGTGACACTGTGGCAGTCTGTCCCTCTAACCATGAGCCCTCCTGTAGAGACACATTCTAACTACGCCTCTGAAATACGAGTAGGTGGCACAGGAAAATACTTGTCCTCTGGATCTGACCTAATAAGGTCCACTTCACACAGGTGAAAGACACACTTCGTTGATATGTGGACGAGACAGAAATCCATGCGTGTGCAGCAAAAAACACTGAGAACTGTTTCCACTTAAGCCCCAGCGACCCTTGAGGAACAGTCAGTGTCCTTTCCTCTCCTAAGTTCCCTGAGACCAGGCCCTGCCCAGACCGACCCCACGCAGCTCACAGGCTTCCCAGGTACAGAGATGCAAACTCGGCCCATACCCCTGGGACCCTGCTTCTCTCCCCAGCAGAGCAGGAGGCTTGGCCAGGCCCCGAGCCCATGTGGAGTCTCAGGCCGGTCAGCACCTCCAGCTAAGGGTGCCGTCTTCAACACGGATCCTCTGCATTAGGACTTCTTCTCTTGCTTGATTTCTTATATGGCCACCCTAACAATATTTTATTGTAATAGATTATTATTCCCATCATCAAGATAAATAAATCCAACTAAAGAATTCTCTTCACTTATTTGAAGAGTCCCATCTTTTGGGAGAAAATAATGTAATGAATCCTTATATCCATCACCCAGCTTCCCTTGACCAATCTAATGTTGCCTGCCTGCCCACGCATTTTCCAGAATATTATCCTTTATCACTCAACACCTCCATCGCAAAGAAGCACAAACTGAAACTATTTTCCCACCTAAAATCCAACCAATCGTGGGGTCCCAATGGACAATGCGAAAGCAGGCTGCTCTGCAGGGTGATACGTACGGATTTCCCATGAGAACTTCGGGTGCACAGTACTCGATTGTTCCACAAAAGGTATAAAATAGTTTGCCCCTTTCCAAGTAGGCAGCAGAGCCAAAGTCTATGAGCTTAATTGTGAAGTCCTCAGCAATCACAATGTTCTCGTCCTTGATGTCCCGATGAAGGATGCTCTTCGAGCGCAGGTATCCCACCGCCGACACCAGCTGAAATCAGAAGGCCACGGGGGACTTTTTAAAAAAGCAATTTAAGTAAAACATGCATTTAAAATAAGGATTAACAAGAAAAAAAGAAAAGCCAATAACAAAGGAAAGGAACCATTCTGTAACTCATAATGAACTGGTGACAGGAAAGGATTCTGGATGCTGTGGATATGATCCAAACGAACCAAAGAAAAAGCAGTTCCAGGCAGGTGTGCCCGCCGTGGCTGGCAGACATTACGCCAACAACGTAAATACATTGATTCTTTTTTAAAATTTCATTATTATTATTATCATTATTATTTGTGATAAGGACACAACCTAAGACCTATCCTCCTAGCAAATTCTTAAGTACACAATACAGTATCATTAGCTATAGGAACTACACCACACAGCAGATTTCTAGGACCTATTCACCTTGCATAACTGAAACTCTACCCTGTGACTAAGCCCCCTATTTCTCCCTTCCCCAGATAAATACGTGATTCTTAATTTCTCTCTCTGTCTGTGTGTTACTGACGAAAGCTTCACAGCAAAGATTCACTCACCCCACGACACACACCATGACCATCTCGGGAGAAAGGACAGACAGACCACAAGCAGAAGCTACAAAGACAGGTGGTGGGCACTTGAATGCGTGTGGGTTGGGCACTAAATGGGAGGTGGCCCTAGAGAAAGCCTGAGTCCAATGCTTGTGGTTCACAGGGATGGAAAGTGACTTGCCCAGAGTTCACGCAGCAATTTAGGAGCAGAGCTGAGAACAGATGCCAAGACGCCTACTTCAGGGCTCTAGCAGCTTCTCAAAGAGCAGCACTGAGCATCAGTCACTCTTTCCCCATCATGTGCGGGATGTTCAACGATGAGGACTTAAAGTAATTCCACTGGAAACAGGCTTCAGTTCAACAAGCCAGATGTGTTAGTCTCCACTCTGAAAGGGTAAGGCTACTACAATATGGCACCATCTGCCTGGCAAAGCCTGCACTGTGCGTTTGAGAACAGAGGTCAACAGAAGTAGCATTTCAGGTAAGTGTAAGTAAAATTTCCAACTGCAGTCATAATTTGGACACCAATTGTACCAATCAACATAGTCGTTCCATGGATGTAGTCAGTCATTTAGATCATTAGAGACAATTTTATATCTACAAATAAATATCTTTGAGTCAGAAGCAATAGTTAATGGCAGGTTAATGAAGCCTAATTAATTAACTTATAATTAATAAATAGATACATATATACATATATAAGCAAACATATACATATCTGCATAGTTATGTATACAGACACATTTATATACATGTATGCATGTGCCCATATACACACATGTGCATGCACACACATGCATGTATATACTTATACATTCGTATATACATACATGAACACATATGCATACATATGTATATACCTATACATACATGCATGCACACATACATATAGGGTCCTGTCAGGAAACAGAAACCACACGTTAATCTGAACACGGAAAGTTTCATCGAGGTTTATTAACTAGTACCAAGGGATTAACTGTAACAGGGTATGGAGAACCTGGGAAGGAAGCCGCTCTTCCTGCAGGTCCCTCCGGTGCCCTAGCTGCACAGGAGAAGAGTCCACAGGCCCCAGCCCCCTGCCGCAGAGCAGGCCCAGCAGACATGGAGCTGAGAGGCAGTACACACTGATGACTGGCACTATGTGAATACATATTTATAAACGACAATACAGTTCTATAAAACTGCGAATCCGTCTTTACATATGATAACACTTATTATGCAGATAGATGTACAAAGGGGCCATAGATACTTCTTGCAAAAATTGTAAAGTGCTGAAAACTATAATTTCCTATATCAGTAGCCCCAGAATTAACAACAGTTAGGCAGCAGCTTTTAAGAAGTGACTCCTAACATTACATCATACAGACACTCTTTTTACCATGAAGATATCAGAAATGAATCTTTGCCATGAATTAAAGTAGATGAGTGTATAATCTTCCAACATAGGAAGAGGGAGAGAGGTGACATTCGTTTGGCAGAGGCATGATGCCTGAAACTTAGAAGTAGGTGCCTTAGAAACTTAATTTCAGAAATCCAGTAACTTCTGGGAGTTTACAGCTTTGAGGAAGAAATGTCAATTTACGGAAGCTGTCATTAGAAATCGGGTCATTTCCTGGAAACAAAGAGCCAATCTGTGAACTGTTCACATCCCCCCTTCCAGGTATTTCTCCATTCTTTCCAGGAAGCTAGGAACAGTCTAGAATGGAACCACCACCTTCTCCTTAAAACTCAAAACAAGAATTACTGTCTCCCCTCCACCCCCCACTTCTCTCTCTCCCAGGACACCTTTTGATTTTGCTGATCACTCCCCCATTCCAATAAAATAAGTTGACTAAGATCAATACCTAAATAGACATGAAATAGGCTAAGACAAATACTTACTGTAAAATATGTCTGCCAGCCTCTCCATCTTTGCTGATTAATTAACTGAATGACTACCATTTGTAGAGCATTAACTATGTGCAGCACACATGCCTCAGAGGCCCTGTCAGACTTCATCCTAACAGCCTCACAATGCTGGTACTATAACGACCCCGACTGCCCAGATTAGCACTGATTTCCTGGTGGTGGACAAGGATTCAGATCGAATGCACAGGTCTCAAAGCCCAGGATGGTAGCTTTGTTGGCTAATTTTTAAGATTGGTGTGGATATTATATGTATATAAATAAACTTTAATCATTAAACATACTTCCTCAATCATCCCAGGATGGTCTCTGGCCTCATCCTTCCTTCCCAACCTCACTATTTCTACATCAGCCATAGAATTCTCTTCTCAAAATATTTATCTTACTCCATAAAATTTAAAAACTGAAGGCCAGCTCCAGCTCACAGAGAGAACCGAGTGTGGACCACTGATCTCTGCAGCCTCGGGATCAACACCCAGGCCCAGGTTCCTCCCAGCACAGCTCAGGCCTGCTCTCACTTGTCGGAAGATGTAACTCGCCAGGGGCTCGTCAAGGCTGGGATGGTGGTCAATGAAGGAGAAGAGGTCCAGGCCAGAGCCATGCTTCTCCATCACGAGCTGAAAGAATTCTTGGTTTTCAAATACATCCAATACCTGGAAAGAGACAAAGTTGGGTCCAGCCCTGCCAAGACACCCTCAAGACAACACATTTAAGATCTTCTCACGTGAGCAATGTCAGGGCATCACCAAACGAGAAACACCACTCCACCTTGATGATATTGGCGTGCTGCACCCTGGACAGAATGGCAATCTCTAAAGTAACTTTTCCAAATCTGGGATCCTCAATCCAACAATCCTCTAAAACCTTCTCCTTCTTAATGAACTTCACCACCACCTACGAAGAAAAAGAGAGGGCAGGTAACTGCAAACGTTCCTCTCGCGTCCCATCGAGCCTGGTGCCCACTGCTGGTTCACGGTGGCAGCGGAACCTCCGCATTCACCTCCCCCAAATCCCAGAGACGTGAAAGAAGACACCTAATGATGAAGCCCTGCAGCGGGAGGAGACAGAGAGGAGAGGACATGACATTGTATGCACTGACACACCACCAATGCTGCTAACTCTGCAGCCCTCACAAAACTTTGACATTAAAAGAGAAAAAGGGAAAAAACTCATGAATAAATATAAATGGAAAAAAATCCCAAATAAAACTATTAGCAAACCAAGTTCAGCAGTGCATTAAAAGAACATTATAACGTGATCAAGGATTGAGTCTACGAATGTCAGCTGACTGATGTCATTCACCGCATCAACAAAGGAAGCAAGGATACAATCATGTCAACAGATGCTGAAAAGGCATTTGAGAGAACTCAGCACTCATTCTTTAAAAGAAATTTTTAATGAGCTGAAAATAAAATGAAATATCCTCAAACAAAAGGTATCGATCAAGAAATGAAAGGAGCATTGTCACTGACCGTGAAACACCAAGAGACCCAGTCACATGCCTGTTAGTAACGCGGCTCTGCAGGTCCTGGCCAACATGACAGGAGGGAAGGAAAAGAAAGGACGATGAGAGATAAACAACAGTGCAGGAGAGACAGCTGTCATTACCGGTAGAGGAATGATCCTTAATCTAGAAAATCAAAAAGGACCCCCTGAAAAATGATCAGAACCAGGAAGACTCTAATACACATATGTGACGTAGCTTTGGTAAACTCCGGCAATAAGTGAGCAGAAAGTGCAGTGGTGAAAGGATCCCACACGTGGCCTTCCCAGGAATCAGCAGGCCAGGCACAGGGACACTTGGGCATCTCCAGGGTTCACAGGGACAGGCAGTACTGTCACCATGTCAATTCCCCCAAATCACAAAATGCCCAGCAACCACAAATCAAATCCCAACAGATTTGGGAGGGAGGGACAGCAAAGTCCGAGGCTTATTTGGGAGAGGAATATGTACGAACCGCCATCACTACTGAGGCCAAGGAAGGACCCTTACAGGTCTCAATCTGCAAATCGACAGGATGTCAGCCCCTGGGGGTATGAAAGGACAAGGGGTGAAGTCCGCCAGTGCGTCTGAAGCAGTGAGTAGGATGGCCTGCCGTGAACGTGTGTGCTGCCAGGAGAGCCTTCCTATGTCTGACCCCGCCGGGTGCCAGGCCGTGTGCTCGGTGCTTCACACGGAGAACTCCTTCCATCCCACTGGAATCCCGGAGTTTAGACACTAAGGGACTGAAGTCATCGAGCCATCTGAAGTGGGGCCTGGCCCGCTTCCCTCCAAGAGCCAAAGTACCTCCTTATTTTTTTCCTTGTCCACTGCGGTCCACACAAAGCCAAAGGCCCCACTGCCGAGCGGGCTCAGCGTGCTGTACTTGTGGGAGTACGCACCCTCACAGGCCGCCAGCCCTTCCAGTTCTACAGCCTTGGGGGACTCCTCCAACCAAGATTTGGTTTTGAGCATCTGTGAATGCAAAGAAAGGTCTGAGGGACCACACACAACCGCAATGAAGAAAGGAGGCTGCAGCAGGCAGGTGCGTGTCATCCCACTGTCCCCAGCAGCCGTGCACCCTCCCACGCTGGGGGCCGCAGCAACCACACCCTACACTGCCACTCCCTGCTCCTGTGCCCACGGGGACCCAGCCCGAGAACCACTCTCCATGGGGCATGCCAGGTGGCCTCGACACATCGGTCCAAAATGGTACACAAGTCGAAACGTGTTCACGCCCCACCCTGCACAGAGGACATACGCACATTTAAAATCCTACATGTGGCTTCATCCTTACACAGGATATTAGAAGACAGTGTGAAAGAGTCACAAAGAGACCCTCTTCCCATTCCAGAGGAAACAGAGAGAGAGAGATGCTGATTGGAAAACATTTTCTACACAGAAAGGCGAGTTCAAGGCAGGAGCAGACTGCAGATACCAACTTCCCCCAGGCTGGATCCGGGCAGCTCGCACATGGAGTGGCTGGAGCTGGGCAGGCTGGCCAGGAGCAGGCGGGTCCGCGTGGCCGAGTCCCGGTGGCTGTGGAGGAGGTCTTTCACCAGCCAGCAGCAGAACAGGGTGGCGGAACCTTGGAGCTCCACTCGCTTCACCTCAAACTGCACACCTGATGGGAAGGTGAGACTGCACAGTGCTCCGCTGACACCACCACACAGCTTCATGATGAAAAGGGCGCGCTCCCATAGAACAGCGTGGGGATGACGCAGAGCCCCCGGGACGGGCAGAGGCAGAGGACACCTAAGCTTGGAGAAGGGGAAAGCCGTGGAGGGCAGGCAGGGAGAGGCCAAGCATGGTGGCAGCAGCTCAGCACGTCCACCAGGGCAGCCAGAGGCCAAGAGAGAGACCTGTGACCACCTGCCAACTCGGAAAGGCCTGGAACACTTGCGCCAACACACCCTATGCAAGGAGTCACTGCCTCCAGGTGAAGGGGTGTGAACGGCTCAGTGGAAACCATACAGTCTGTGCCTCCTCTCGCTCATGCGGCCACACGACATGTCAACCACACTCACACACAAACCCGTAAAGCTTGTGCATCTCTACACACATCCCCACGTAGCCTCTAGGACACACCTAAACAAACCTGGTTATCTTTTTTCAGGAGGAGGAGGATTTACAGGGCATTTTATTTCCTTCTTCCTGTTTACATTTTCTAATATTTCTACAAATAACAAGTATTACTTAAATAAGTTTTTAAAGTCTAGGAAAAAAGTCCTAGTGATCAACACTATGAAATCAGCAATAAGGAAACAACTGGCTAAAATAACGTGGACCTGTTAGGAAATTAGGAAAATCAAAGCAAGTAAAACAAACATAATCACCTCCAAGGGGCAGTTGAAGGGCCCGGTCATCATCCTCCCAGAGCGGGGACTTGAGACCAGAGCAGCCTGGGCCCCAAGAGCACATGAAGACCTCCTATAGGACCCCGCAGCTTCGCACGTCACTCCTTGCCACACGTGTGACGGCCGGGGCCTGGCTGGTGGCAGCCCGACCCCTGCTGCACAGAGGGGCTCCTAGGCAGGGCGCAGAGGTGGAGGGGACCTCGGGCTCCCCCTCCCAGGCACATGCACCGGTAATCCTGATTTTCGAGAGGTAAACTCTAACTACTTTAATACAGCATTTCTGCCAAAACCATTCAGGGGGGTGAAGCCATCAGACCGCAGGACAGGGACACCCATGCACCCCGCTGTGCTGTGCACCAGGGGCAGCACACATGCCAACAGGAGATGCAGGACACGGACACGGACGGACACACACACACACACACACACCCCCCCGCTGGGACATACTCAGCCGCGAGCCATCTCGGTGGTAACAGCTCCCCGCATAGGTGCCCTCCTGGATCTCATGCTGCAGGCTGGTGGCCCCGGGTGTCACTGAGCTGTCCCCTTTCACAGGTGTGGAGGTGACCTGGATTTTGCCGAGCCTGGGCTCCTCTGATGGGCACGCATCCACGGGACTGGCTCCTGACACGGGAGGGACGCAGCCCGGGCTTTCTCTGCCATTCACTTCATAGTGTTCAGAGGACAGCACACATGTCTCAGATGGTTCTGTCCCATCAAGTCCCAGACACCTCTCACGGAACCGCCGGCCTTCACCAAGACCGAAACAGGTGCCGGTCAGCAGTAACAGCTCTCTATCGTCCAGAACATCTGAGCTCTGCCCCTGCAAACTGCTCACATCGACGTCTGACCCCACCAGCAAAGGAGAGGTCGTCCCCGTGAGCTCAGACGTAGCGCAGGAACAGTTTGAAGAAGTTCGGTCTGTCCATTCACTGAAAAAGCGCTCCCTGAGGTTCCAGGAGAACGAATTTGCGTCGGCCTCCTGGGCTTCCTGGGCCTCCACTGCATCCAGGACGCCAGGGAGGTCTGTGGCTAGCGCGTAATAGGCTGAGGAGCTGCCCGTGCGGCTGCTGTGCAGGTCTCTGCCTTGCAGGTCACACAGCGACACAGGGGCAGAGAACTGGGGGTGCTCTGCTGGGACCAGCTCGACATAGGAGACACCCAGAGGTCCCAAGAAGCTCGATTTGGACAGCTGCTCCTTAATTAAGCACGTCTGCAGCTCTTCTCTGTCATTCTTCGCTCCCAGCCACGGCTCGTCCAAAGTAGGCGTCGAGAACGAGAGCCGCAGCATCCCGGAGGGGCTGGGGGCCGAGTCCCGGCTCCCCTGCTGTGCCCTCCGCTCACCCGAGTATGCAGCACAGTGCATCGGGACGCTCAGCCCCGCCGGCTGGCCCACGGCACACGGCTCAAGCATGGCCGCCTCAGCCCGAATGTTTGAATTGCTGGCACTGCTCGAGCCCATCCGTTCCAGCTGTGCTTCCTGATACGGGCCACACATTTCAACATTCCTGCTCCTGTCCTCAGTGGGGGCTGGAGTTTCAGAATCTCCTCTACGTGAAGCAAATGGTTTTGTGCTCCCTGGGTCAGACCTGCTTCCTCCCAAACGGTCCTGTCTGAGGCTCTCTGTTGCTGCAGCTTCCTCTTTCTCCAAGACAGCGTTCCGCTGGTCCTCAGGCAGTGACTGTTGGCTACGGGCTGGGAGGCCTCCTTCTGAGATGTTCCACCGGTCCTCAGGCAATGACTGCTCCTGGGCTGGTGGGTTTCCTTCTGGGATGTTTTGCTGGTCCTCGGACAACCACCGTTGGCCATGGGCTGGTGGGCTTCCTTCTGGGATGTTTTGCTGGTCCTTGAACAATGACCATTCCTGGTATGGTGGGCTTCCTTCTGGGATGTTTTGCTGGTCCTTGGGAAATGACTGTTCCTGGGATGGTGGGCTTCCTTCTGGGATGTTTTGCTGGTCCTTGAACAATGACTGTTTCTGGGATGGTGGGCTTCTTTCTGGGATGTTTTGCTGGTCCTTGGGCAATGACCGTTCCTGGGATGGTGGGCTTCCTTCTGGGATGCTGTCCACCCTTGGGATTGTAATATGGAAGACATAGTTACCTGGGGGCCACAGAAGAGTCAAAGGAGAGATCACATGGATTCCCCCTCTCTCAGAGACAAGTGCAAATCATTTAACATCATAAACTTATAACAGAAAAAAATGAATAAATTTTCTAACTAAGTTAAAAAATAAAATACCAATTCACATAGTCTCCAGATACATCCACATTTAGCAATGATTTATCACAGAATGCCACTGAGCCCCCAGGACCAAATGCACAGGCTTTGGTCAGCATTCTCATTCTGTGAGTGGGGCTCCCACACTAGCCGTGCAGCCAGCGTCAGCCCACCTGCCTCAAGGAGGAGAGGAAGAACGGAAAGATGGGATTTGAGAGTGTTTTGTACACTACACAGTATGAAACTGTGACTGGCTACAAACACCAGGGAAACAGCTCAGAGAGGGCCGGCGCAAGAAGGAAGAGCGAGGCCGGTAAGGGTAGGATTCGCAGGATGGGGGTCTAAGAGGTTCCTAAGAGCTGGAACAGAGAGCCCACAAGAGCACAGTCAGCACGGGGTGACCACTGAGGAATAGGCTACCACAGCCCAGACAAGGCGATCCAGGGGGCTGCGGGCCCAGTGTCAAGACGCCCCCACGGCTGGCCCTGCCACGGCAGCACCCACGCAGCAGATCGTGCTGAGCACCTGCCCCATGTTGGCCCAGGGCCAGACGCCGGCACCAAGACCAGCAGGATGTGGCCGTGCCCAGCCTTGGGGGGTGCCGACATGCTGGGATCTGGTAAGTGTTGCAGCAGAGGGTCATAAAGAGGCACAGGAGAGGAAGGACCCGTCTCAAGGATGGTTCCACAGAGGAGGGAACTGTGAGCAGAGTTCTGAGGAACAGCAGGAGTCTTCTGGGGAACTGAGGGGTGGGATGAGCGTCTGTGGAGGCCAGACAAAAATTACCTACGTCTCTCGCCACACCTACCCCTCGCTCTCTCTCCATCTATCCCAGGCCAAGAGGCTAGCCCTTGGGCCCGTCTCCAGGGAGCTGCCCGTCCTCTGCAGTCAGCAGATGAGGCTGGAATTCTGGCCACGGGGAAGTGAGGAAGTAAGGGGTGGGCTTCCGGGAGAGACTTTAAAATCGGGGGGCCCCTCCCCTCTCTCCCCTGCCCTCTCCTCAACTGGTTAAGTTTACGTGCGATGAGCAGCCCCAGGGACGGCAGGGCCTCCAGCAGTAGGCACGTGGGGACCTGAGACCCCCGCCAGCTTGTCTGGGCATGCCACTCAGCGTCTCAACACTTCATCTCCAGTCTAACAATCAACTCGGCTTCATCATCGACTGGCTGGACACAGCAAGACCGAGCTCCCAGGTTCCTGGGAGAGTCAGAGGAAGCACTAACATAGTCCCTGGAGCACAGAACACTCCGTACATCTCGCTTCCCTCCTTCCTTCCCGCTTCTCAGCTATTTTCACTGTTTTACTTATTTTCCTGACTAGACCATAATTATTAGGGATGAGCCTTCAAGTCTTTTGCAATGTTTATTTGTTGAGTGAATAAGTAAATGAATGAATGAGGGAGGGATGCAAAGCAAATGCTTAGAACCGTGAGATCAAAAATGTCCAATCTAAGAGAAATGCAGGAATCGGAGCATCTGGTGGAACTTCCTCGTTGCACAACTGGATCCCAGAAAATAAACTCTGCCCCCGGCGCTGACACCAGCGAGCGCCCACGGGGGCCAGGCCCGTCCAGCTACACGCACCCCTGCACAGGGGCAGGCTCCTCCCTCCTCAACTGTGGGTGAGCACATGTGGGAGAGCCAGCAGTTACACTGCTCACACACCAAAAGTGGGCCCCCAGTCAGGAAGGAAAAAGCCCGGGAGTCTCAGCCATGACAGGAAACCCCATAACATCCGTCAGCAGGAAAACATCGACCCGAAGCACGGTGCTCGATGAGAGGTGCTGGTTTTGAGGTAAGGCCACATAGGAAGGCCCTTGAGGTGTATATAAGTGTGGGTACACATGCACAGACACACATTAAGACAACATGCACAGTGTGATCCTGTTTGTGTTAAAGGAAAAGAGCAGCTGTATGTGAGCACACACACGTGTATAATGTATGCTTATATGAAATGCACGGGGAAAACGGTCTAGAAGGACATGGCTGCTGACAGCGGTTCCCTCTCTAGGGGAAGCTCGGCGACAGTCACAGGAACTTTTGCTTTTTATCATTATTCTTCTGCACTTTAAAAAAACACACATATTCATGTATTACCTATTTTTTAAATAATTTGAAGAATAATAGAAAACATAACAATGTGGATAAATCACCCAAACCTAACGATGAGCAGAAGAAGCCAGACATAAGGGGATGCACAGGTCAAGTTCAAGGACAGGCACTCTGACCATCATCGTAGCCCAGGGCAGTGAGGGGCACCGAGCAGAAAGGGAGCCGGGTGCCTCCTGGGTGAGAGTGGAAAGGATCATGGATCGCATACCACCCACAGTTTGGGGCCTTACTGTACGCTGTGCAGCAAAGAGATTTTTAAAAGAAAAAACTGGTTGAAAACCGATCAAAATGCTTTGCACAACAGGACGGATAATTGAACAGTGGACTTTTTATTTCTACTTTTTTAAATTTCCCAAATTTTCTAAAATGAACTTCCTCTACTCTAAATGGAATACTTTGTTATTTAAAAGGGCACAGAGAGGGCCCACCCCGTGGCCGAGTGGTTAAGTGGTTAAGTTCGTGCGCTCCGCTTCGGGGCCCAGGGTTTCGCCGGTTTGGATCCTGGGCGCGGACATGACACTGCTCATCAAGCCACGCTGAGGCGGGGTCCCACATAGCAGAGCCAGAAGGACCTACAACTAGAATATACAACTATGTACTGGGGGGCTTTGGGGAGAAGAAGAAAAAACAAAAGATTGGCAACAGATGTTAGCTCAGGTGCCAATCTTAAATAAAAATAAAAATGCCAAAGAGAACAGATTCAAATAATTTTGAAAAGAAGAAAATTATGCTTGAATCAGTTCCCTGGAACTTACCTAAATGCTTCCTTATCTGTAGAAAGGGGACTGTTTCAGAGGCTGCTGAGGACTGGCCAGATAACTCAGAGAAGCGACTGCATCGAGGTGCCCAAGTAGGTGTTCCGTGGCTGTTACCACTGACAGCGGCCATCTCTCTAGAGGGCTCCTCATCTGCCCACCACCTGCCCTGACCGTCAGCACACCCTTCCTCAGAGGACTTACCCCGGAGCTGGGGGAGATGGGAGGGAAGAAGGGAGATGGCCTCCAGTATCCGCTTGGGCCTGGGTCCCAGTGAAGGCTTCTTGGCTGCCCACTAGCTTTAGGGTCTCATCTCGTGGCAGAATGTGGTCACCAGCTAGCACAACGTCAACACTTGGATCTACAGCAACAGCAAAAGAGAGTGTTTTCCACCTGCAGGCACACCCTGCTGAAACAAACCTCCTCGTTTCCCCATGGCTCAAGGGCATGGCAGGGGGCTAACCTGATCTTGGAAACTCCCCCAGCCCCACCCTGGCAGCATGTCCCAGATCCGACCACCTCTCATCACCCCACGGGCACCCCAGTGCAGGCCAGCAGCCTCTGCTCTCCATGCCGCTCTGTCCTGGGCCTGCACCGGACTGGCATGATCTGACTAACATGCAGCTGGAGCATGGCCCTCCTCTGCCCAAGCCCTCCAAAGGCTCTGCCTCGGGGTAAAAGCCAAAGTCCCTAAAAAGCCTACCTCCTGCCCCTCTCCTGGGGGCCTCCCTGTCACACCTGGAGCATGCCAGGCCTTCACATTGCTGCTCCCTCTCCCAAAAATGCCACCCCTGCCTCCTTCAGGGCTTCACTCAAAGCCGCCTTCCTGGGGGCCCTCCGAGGCCCACGGGCCCTGAGAGGGCACAGCCTCCTCCTGAGTGCTGGTCACCTCCTACGCTCGGCACCTATGCTCCTGAGTCACCTGCTTCCCCCCAGCTCTACGGGACGCCTATCTACCCACGGCAGGCCCTGGCCCACAGCATGTCAAAGGGACTAGAGGAGTGAGACCGTCCTCATTAGACACCAGTCTGGGTTGGGAACGGTTAGAAAGAATCCCGCCCCCAGCTGACGGAAGTGGGCGGGCTGGCACCATCTCTCCAACGGGCATTTCCACAACAGCTAGCAAAAGCCCTCACCCCAGGCACCCAAGAACACCATTTCTAAGACTCATCCTGAACAAATGGGTAAAGAAGATGTGGTATATATATGTAATGGAATACTACTGAGCCATAAAAAAAAACCAGAATCATGCCATTTGTGAGAACATGGATGGACTTTGAGGATGTTATGCTAAGCGAAACAAGTCAGACAGAGAAAGACAAACACCGTACAATTTCACTCATGTGTGAAGATAAACAAACACACAGATAAGAAGAATAGATAATGGTTACCAGACGGGAAGAGGGTGGGGGAAGGGCGAGGGGTAAAGGGGCACATGTGTATGGTGACAGATAAAAACTAGACTATTGGCGGTGAGCACAATGCAGTCTATACAGAAGTTGAAATATATAATAATGTACACCCGAAATTTATAATGTTATAAGCCAATATGACCTCGATAAAATAATTTTTAAAAATTATTGAAGAACCAAAAAAAAGAAAGAATTCATCCTGAACAGACAATGAAAGGGACAGAACTTTTGTGATCTTCCCTCCCCCACGCCAGTCTTCTACAAAGAACATGCATTACACACACACATGGAAGAATCTGGAATTCTGGAAAAAGGAAAGGGAATGTTATCAGTGATAGAGAAAAAAATTTGATAAAAGGACAGTCTTTGCAGAGAGAAAAACCCAGATGAAGGAAACCTCGTGTTAAGAAAAGGGGCAACTCAAAGAAAGTCAGCAGTCGAATGAAGCATCTTTTAAGACAAAATGTCACACTCCAGGGGTTGGCCCTGTGGCCGAGTGGTTAAGTTCGTGTGCTCCACTTCAGTGGCCCAGGGTTTTGCAGGTCTGGCTCCTGGGCACAGACATGGCACCACTCATCAAGCCATGCTGAGGCGGCACCCCACATAGCAGAGCCAGAAGGATCTACAACTAGAATTTACAACCATGCGCGGGAGGGTTTTGGGGGGAAGAAGAAGAAGAAAGAAAAAAAGAAGATTGGCAACAGATGTTAGCTCAGGTGCCAATCCTAAAAAAAAAAAGTCACACTCTAACTTCTAATGTCCCAGAGTGACGCTGTGGCGTATGAGCCACACTTCCTGCCCAGGTACTGCGGAAATCCCACAGGGAGCCCAGAAAACTGAACACTGCAAGAATAATTGCTCATTTACCAACCAGACACCGTATAGTCCCATTTTTCCCTCAGTGACTGTGTTAAACACACTTATGTGTTTAACTCAAACACCAAGCCTTTCACAGACTTGCCCTCTGGTGACAGCAGGGAAGCCTTTCCCAACTGCACCCAACCTCACCATGTGTGGACGGCACGGCAAGAGATCGGTCCTCTGGAGGGCGCGGGAGCCCACCCCACGCACTCGGGGCCAAGGCTCGCTGCTTGGCAGTCCTCGTCTCCTTTTCTGTCCCCACTCACAGGAGAGCAGAAATCAGGGACGCCCAGCGGTTGGGCAGACAGCACACGGCCCAGGGGGTGGGCACAGGCAGAGCTGGGAGCACCCCCAAGGCAGAGCCGGGGTGCAGCTTCTCCTCACTCTTTGTCAAGGGAGAGGAACCCCGAGGAGGCTGCAGGGCGGCCCCCGCTCCTTCCCAGGAGCCCAGGCATGGGCTCTGCTGGGTCTATATACTCCCCGGGCTCCGCACCCTGAGTGGGACCCTTTCAGGACAGGAGCTGGGTGCACACTGTCTACACCCACCACTGCGCCTAACACGTTCATGAGTGGGGACTCGGGGTATTTGCTGGAATAACTTTAAATACAAGGGATAAACGTGCATTAATAAACAAATACTGCAGGACTATTTAGCTTAGGGATTAATCTGATACGCTGCATCAATTCTGTCTTAAGCTACGTAAAGCTACAAATATTTACTTATGAAAGAAGGCTGCCAATTAGCCACTGTGTCCTAGACACAGGCGCACGGTGACTTACCCTGGGGATTCCAGTCCTCCCCTCTAGGCTGACACGCTTGTGAGACTCACACCCGTCCCATCCCCCGGGAACATGAAGGCCAGTGAGAGACAGAAAGGAACACCAAACCCACGCAGACAGGGTCCCACAACGGCCTGGCAGCCACTCACTCACTCTCCCCAGCCCACCCGGCATGCCCATACCCCCAGAGCCCCATGGAGGCAGGGGCCGTGTGGCACTGGGCAGCCACAGGCATGCCCGGGAGGAGGCCCACTCTCACCCTCGCCTGCGCTGGCCAGGTTCCAGCCCTGCCGGGGGTCCACAGTCGTCTCCCCAGGCCCACTCTGGCTGCCAATGTCCAGGCAGTCAGCCAGGTCTGGCAGCGGCAGGGAACTGTCATATGCGGGGTCCATGCAGTGGTAGAAACCAGGAATCAGGAAGGTGATGTTCTAGAAAACAAAGGGCGGCACTTTAGGACCTGGCAAGAATTCACACTGACCCACTGGACCATCCGTCGTCCCTTCAGGGGAAAGAATGGAACGATGTGAGCACCTCTCTGGATGAGGTTGGAGAAGACCCAGGTCATGTTCCTCCTGACGGACCTGAAGCCCCTCTGATGCTCAACATGGAATTCATGAATTGTTTTCCTTTTGCTTATGAGAAAACTAAATGAACACTCTGAAGCTGGTCATGCCGACACCCACGCATCTTCGGAGCAGATGCCTGGCCTGGGCCACACGTCTTCCTCACACCCAGGAGCCGTGTTTGCATGTTTCCCCTCACTCGGCCCACTGGGAACAAGCCGTGCCCCAGCATAAAAGGGCAAAAGGACCTTGGGCAGCAAGAAACCGGCCCCTGAGGTCCAGCAGGCACCTCTGCTGCACTGGCCGTGCCTTAGCGTGAGGGTCCCAGGCCAGAAGTCACAAGGACAGGTGCTTTCTCTGAATGTAAGTGGCCCCCACTCCCAGACGGTGGCCCACGGCCACACGAATCAGAACACACTCTAACCTCAGAGGGACATTCAGAGTCCACCCACACACACCCCTCAAAGGCTGGGATGCCCTCAACGTTCCTGTGCAAATCCCTGGTCCAGAAATTATGCTGCATTTTCATTGACCTCAATTGAACTAAGTGTGACTTAATTTAACTAAAACTTAGCTCACTCCCATCTCAGTGTCTCTATCAGAGAACAGAGAGGACCTGCTGTTGGAGCCTCAAATCAGGCGAGAAAGTTGACTGGCTGTCACACTGTCACCGGGTCTTGGGTCGGCCCTGGCATGAGCGACAAGAGGCCACGGACGCTCCCTCCCTCTGCAGCAGCCTCTGGTGAACAAGGCACCCCCTGAAAGGCTGCGGGGTATGGGGGCCGCTAGGAGTCAGGAGCCAGGCACTCACAGCAGCGGGAGGGGTCAGGGGCCACCACCTCTCCTTCCCCGATTACTCCCTTCCCACTGATTGGGGACCCATGCCCCCACCTAGGGAGCCCTCTAGGACCCCCCAAGGAGGGGCATTCTGAGGCTGCCTGAGATCCTCACCCTGGGAGCCCTGCCACCAAGCACCACACAGGGGCTCCCGACGCTGGCCCCAATCGGCCAGATCCGTGAACGGACGAGCCTGGGGAGGACGCCACCCCCAGCCAACACCACATGGTATAGAATGAGCTGTCCTGCTAAGCTCAGCCCAAAGGGCCGACCTGTGACCAAAATTCATGATGGTGGTGTTTTAGGCACTAAGTTTGTGGTGTTTGTTTGCAATAACAGACACCCACTGCTCAGCACAGTCCTGGACAAGAAAAATAGGGCAGTCAACACCCCCAGCAGGCCTGGCTCTGTGTGCAGAGCCTTCCACCTCCCCCTGTTCAAGGAATTTAGAGAATGCTCAACCCAAGGAAGAATGTTATAGAAACACCTTCCTCCAGCCCTACCACACAACAGGCTCCCATGACGGCCCCCAGGACAGTCCAAGGTGTAGACGAGCCCCGGCCTGCAGGTTCAGAGCGAACCCCACAGCTGTGACAGACACCTCATCCAATAACAGACATGACTTCATATGGGAAGGGGCTTCAAGGAGAGAGCCCCCTCCCTCTCCAGGGGCAGCACATTGCATATGACGGGAGCCCAAGGGCTGAAGATGGTCCAGGGGTCATCGAGTGCTCAATGTGGGGTGCAGAGAAAGGAGCAGGCAGCAGGAGTCAGGGAAAGCCAGGGAGTTGGACAAGAAGAGAGACGCACATGGCCTGTGACAACACACACCCTCACTGTGGGACACAGAGCAGCTTCCCCACAGGGGCCTCGGCCAGCACTCCGGGGAGGGCCCCACCTTGCCCAGGAGCTCTGTCTTCCCATAGCCGAACAGCATCAGCGCAAAGCTGTGGTTGATGCCGTAAATGGTCCCATCTGGCAGGAGGGTGATGAGACCGCTGATGGTGGAGAACACCCAGATGGATGCCGAGTAACCCCATTTGGGGGCCGCCTTGCCATCTTCAGCCTCCTCACTACTGGGTTTGGATTTCAGTTTTAAGCTCAGAGGGAACGTGGTGCCATCCTTGGCTCTTCCAACAGACCTCTGAATCTTGAGATTCTGAAAAAGAGACACGCCACTGAGCTGACAGCAGCATCTCATGTGCCCGAGCGGGGAGTCTTTGCTGCTTTGGATTTCAATCCCACCCCATGCCCGTCGTGGGGAGCAGCCCCAGAACATCTCACTCCCACCCTGCTCTTCTTTCCTCCATCTCCCCACACCCCGCCCTCACCCCAGGGAATGCAGAGCTCTGACCCGGAGCCATGCCTGGGGACCGGGAGACCCGAGGCCCCACATGAGAACAGCCGAGCACAATGCACGCAAGGGCAATCAAGAAACGCACCAGGACGGGACCGGCATCTGTGAGGCCCCGCAGGGCAGTGTTTCTCTCGCCTCGGCCTTGGAGCTCTGCTATCCCCAGGGTCCCACTTCTGTGGGCGGCACCAGCCCTCACTCCAGCCCCTGTCCTCCAGCCTGGGGGCAGTGGCTTCCTGCTGAAGCTGACCTTGGGTGGGCTGACCATTCCCCACCTGCCTCCCCAGTCCTCCAGCACCCATGCAGCCAAGTCCCTGTGTGACATTTCGCTGCTCTACTTAGAATGCACTCGGCTTCCCAAGTAAATCCTGATGAGGCAGCATCCCCACCCACAGGCTTCGAGAGTGTGCTCCCTTTCTGGTTCAAGATGGCAAAGCGGCCCAGGCCTTTGTGCCCACACCCTCACCCAATCCCACCTGCCCTTTTGTTTGAGGGTTCACCTGTACGACATGAGATCTGTAGGGCGCATGTCGTAGGCATAGCCCTGAATGTGGGGGAGCTCCCACTTCACCAGCACTGTGCCCTGAATGGGGCCAGAACCCGAGACCGCGGGCTCGCTGTGGCAAGCCTGCAGGCCGGGACCCCAGGTCCCAGTGAGCCCCGCACAGAAGCAGGGCACAGTGTCTGTCTCCACCTGCTGCTGGGGCGTCGACGGGCTCAGTCCCAACCACAAACACGCTGCTAGGAGCATGGTACACGTGCCTTCTGGCGCAAACCTCTTTCAGGTATGTACCTGGGGTGGTGGGGGCTTTGCTTATGTTTAGATTTAGCAGATGCTGCCAAACAGTCTCCAACGTGATTGTACCAGCTGAAGCTCCCACCAGCTTTGAGGCCCAAGTGGCTACTCCTTTAGGACAGGACAAAAGACAGAGAAAGAATAGGACTGGGGGGTCCTAGGGGCTTCCAATAGAGCTGGAAAGCTTAAAACAATAAATGACCAGCTCAGAGGGTTCAGCTCTTAGCCTGAGGCCAGCCACAGAACCACAGAGGGCCAATGGATGTCCTGAAAGGACCTCTATTTCTTGTGGCAGCAGAGCCAACTTCAGCCAAAAACCAGCTGTCCAGTCTACTCCTGCAGGTCCCTGGGACGTGACAGCAGCTGAATCCGTAGCAAGGAGGGCCACTCAAGTGAAGGCCGCACACGAGCTGGGCAATGGGGCCCCTGGAAACCGGGGCAGCTCAGCTGATGACAGAACCTCCACCCCACCCCAAACCTCTAGTGCCCCGCAAAGCAGCCAAGTCCCCCCACTGACCCGCCATCCTGTCTTGAGGGGAAACCTGCCATCAGGCAGGCCCCCCTGCTCCTCTCAGACCTCTCAGGAAAGAGAGACCCGGCCCCCTGCACACTCCAAGGAGAGGACTGAGGGGAGGGGGCGGTCAGTCGGTGAGCCACACAGGCTCTGACCCTTGGTCAAGACTTCGGAGCCCAGAGAGCTCCAAGCAAAACCTGTCCCACTGCGTCCATGTGCAGGACACTCCTGCTGTCAGGAACCTGGCCTACATCTCCAGGCTATGGATTCGGGTCTCAGAACTTGAGGGTCACCAGGTAAATAGCTCCAGCAGCCACGCGGCCACGTGCTGCAGGCGGTCAGGGCTCCTACCTTTGGGACATGCTCGCCAGGTGGAGGGAGCTGCACGGAAGGGACCAGGTCTGTGATGCGCTGCCCGACCACTTCCTCCCCAGACGCGTACCCGTGCAAATGAGCAAAGACGCTGTCACATGACGTGATGGTTCCCTGGGAGGAAAAGCCAGTGTTTTTAAGTGTTACAATGAAAACACCTCAGCTTTAAACTTCACAGAACGCTAATGTCTTCAAGCAGAAAGCAAGACCGTTAGCGCTAGTCCTGTACCAGAAGCGCAAGAGGGAGGCACCCACATGACCCTTTCCCTCCCACTACAAGTGCCACAGTGCTGATTCCAAGGCACCCTGCAGAAGCCAGCACACACTGGAGGCTTGTCAGCAAGAAGTACCGCCACACACACAGCTCGTGCGAGTGCTATCTATATGACAACCACCATGCTGAGGGTTTCACGTATATCATTTTACTGAAGTGCTAAAACAATCCTATGAGTCATTACGATTGTATCCAATTTTACAGATGGGGAAACTGAGGCACAGGGAGATTTGGGCCCCTTGACCAAGCACACACGATCAGTAAGGGGCATAGCTGCAGGCAGACCCTCCAGAACTCCAAGCCCTCTTTCTGCCCAAAGGCACTGAGCGAGGAACAAAGTTTGCTGAAGTGCAGGGAGAGGAGAGGCGTGGTCAAGCTACTCGCGGCTGAGAAGTGTGGTCAAGCAACTCACATCGCTTTGGAAGGCAACCCAGGCCGAGACCCTCTCCACGGGCTCCAGCACGACCACGCAGCAGAGGCTGTGTTCCTGCTTCACCCGCTTCATCCACACGGACACCGGAATCTTTTCCCTGCTGCAGCTCACAATGTCCACCTGCGGGCACAGACGGGCTCACGCCTGACTGCCCCCCGGCCGCCAGGCCCTCCCTGACTCCAGGGATGGGGGCATTTCAGACTTCTGCTCACCTGCCCTACGTTTTGGAAACTAACCAAAGTACAATTAAGGTTTCTGACACCTGACCTTATGCTCTGAGTGAACGTTCTATCAGAAGAGTAGATTTATTTTTCATCCTCAGCTTCATGGTAATATAGCAAGGAAAAAATAGCAGTATCCTTTATTTCTTAAAGAAAGAGACACCAGTACAAGCTGACTATCTTAAATTTCTTCTTCCTAGTAGTCAGTCTCTTGGACGGATGATTTTTTTGGATGTGGTTGATCCTACCTAACTTCTCTAGTGCCTGAAGCTCAGGGCTCACCATCTAACCCGTCAACGTGCCGGTTGGAGGCATCATACGGGAACATCAGAGCTCCAGGGTGGCCTTTCCGGTCCCACCAGCCCCTCCAACAAACACCAGACAAAGTGGAGATTTGGAAGCGAAGACAATAAAATTATGTCACTGACATGGCACCCTGCAGGTCTGCAAAATGCTAGTCAAGCTTCCTCCTTCATCAAGCAGCACCAGGGATACCTGTGTCACCCTTCACGCCAGGCCAGCAGCAACATTGTTTCTGTTCCCGGGACGCCTCCCGCCCGCCACCACTCCAACACACCAACGCTGAGGGGGCGCTAGTGCCTACAGTGACCAGTGACAGCAGGCCCCCAGCGCACACTCCAGGCGGGCAGCCCCCCGAGGGGCCTGCACTCACCACTGTGCCGAACACAACGGCAGCGCGCCCATCAGCCTCCACGCACTCCTCACTGAGGGCTTCCACCACATCGGAATCTGGCTTCAGGAAGAACTGTGTGAGCTTCTGGCCGATCAGGTTGTGGCTGCTGTACCCCAGGAGCTGGCAGGCTTTGTCATTGGCAACCAGGATCTGAGGGTGGCAGGGAGGAGACAGCACAAGCATCACCTAGAGCACTCCTCGAATTCCTGATAATAGCCAAGAGAAGGCGGCGCGGGCACCCACCGGGGGTGGCCCAGAGACCCATCCTCCTCTGACGTCCTACTGTCGGTGGGCTCACAACCCTGATGCCCTTGGGTCCTCCGGAGTCTCGACCACGTGGAAACAAGAACGTCCACCAGTCAGTGCATCAGACGGTGTCCAGACTGGAACCACGTGTCCTTCACCCACCGAGAGGGGCACACCATGTCATTGGGACTGAGGAAGACATGGGGATCTATGCCACTCTTCTTGCCCATCTAACAATTTCAGCTATTTGTGTATAAATGTGCATTATGCAAAGACATTTAATTCAAACACTGAATATCCCTTCTTATTTTAGTTGAGCCAACACTTTAGCAAGCACGAGTAAATGACGTGCTTCATCCCTCTCCTTGAATCTCTCTCTTGAGGAGAGGCTTCAGTTTGTTTTGCCTGATTCATATTTAGGTCTCCAAATTCATATCTATTTTGCTACAATAGGCAAAACCAGACGTTTTTCTAATTGCACTTAAAACACACAAATTCCTGTCTGAGCTTACAGGTTGAAGGCACGGACCCCAAACCCACAGCCGGGTCACAAACTGAACCAAATACCTGCGTAGTCTTGGCGTCCACGGTGAAGACGGCCTTGTTCGGGTTGCACACGGGGGCTGGGAGCAGGGGCACAGACCACCCTGAGGGCAAGCCGCGCAGCAGGGAGCAGCAGGACGTGCTGCCCAGGGACCCGGCCAGGTCCGCCTGCTCAGGCGTGGCTGGGCAGTGCAGTTTGCTGGTGCAAATATTTTGGGCAGCCAACGATGACAAACAGTAGGAGCTCCATCTGTCTTCTGGAAAGAAAAGGAAAGGAAGCTTTAGACTTCACATGGCTGCCAGCTCGGGTGACACACAAAGCACACAGCCCCTGCACCCATCTCCTGCACAGAATCCAAGGATAAATGAACTGCAGAGTTGACTCTCTAATCATGCGTCTGAACGGTCCCCAGAGTCCCCCTACACGACCACCAGGCACCTCGCAGCCACACAGAGCCATGTCCCATCAGAAGCACAAAGGATCCAAGCTCAACATTTATTTCTGTGTAAGGAACACTCCGGATCCTCCCGCCCACCCTCCAAGGGGTTCTCTTGCAAACATCCCCTCTCTCCTCTGTCCCTCATTCTGAGACCCAGAGCCCCTCCAGCTACTGCCCCATCACTTGTTCCTGGACAATCTCACAAAGTCAAGAGCTACCTGCTGTCTCCACTCCCCCTCCCTCCATTCTCCCTTCTCATTCACCCATCAGGTTCACTCCCCACCACTCCAGAAAATCTGCTCTCAGCAACATCTCCAGTGGCTCCCAAGATGCTCAACCCCGTGGTCAATCCTCAGGCCTCACCCTACTCCACCCTCAGCAGCACTGGGCCCGGAGGGCCACTCCCCACCTCCCAAACCACCTGCCCTGGGCAGAGTACCTTCTCCCTCCACCTTCCTGACCTCTCACCACTGTGGGACCCCAGACTCCGCCTCAGAACCTCCACTCCATCCCAGCCGCTCCTTGGTGGCTTTACATACACTTGACACAGAAATGTGCTGATGGCCCCACTCTTACACCCCTAGCCCTGACCCCTTTCCTGGGCTCCAGCTACCTGCTCCCCATCTTTCCTGTCTCAGTAAATGTCAACTCCATCCTTGTAGCAGCTCAAAAACGGGCCAAACAAACATGACTCATCCCTCCTTCCCTGCTGGGTCCTTTGTAGAGGAGTCGACTTTCTCAGTTCGTGACCTCACCCTGACATTCTCTGAGGCTGGAAACTGCACAGCCATCTGCCCCCTGGCCCTCCTCTTCCCAGGCAGCCAATCCCAAACCTGGCTTGATCCCTCCTTGTGCCTCAGGACAGGCAGAGTGACACCAGCTCTGCCTCTTCTCCCCTTGCAGCCACCACAACAACCTGTCTGTGGGCCAGTGCCTCTCAGACCTGCCCGGCCCCTCCCTGCAGCATCTCTGGCCCTCTTCACAAAAACCAGCATACGCCGCCCTCTGAACACACCCAGCCCTGCCGTCCCCTACGCCGGGGAGCTCAGCTCCAACCCTCCTCCTCCTCTGTCAGCCACTCCTCTCCTGAGCCCCTTTCCTCCAGCTCCAGGCCACCTCTTCACTGTTCCAGGTCCACCCAACTTCAAGCAGGCACCTGCTGTCTCCTCGAGCACCCCCCTCAGACGACAAGCCCCTCAAAGGCAGAGTGATGCTCTCTTCCTCACTGTGTCTGGGCTCTGGAGGCACCGAAGGACTTGGAGAAGGAAGTGAACGGGGGCACGGGGGGCAGTGGGTGCCCCACAGTTCTCAGCCTACCCCTGGGGGCCCCACAGCCCACATTGTGAGGTTGGCTGCCCACGGGCCTGTCTAATTTGTCTGTGTCTGGGAGGAATGCATCAGCCTGCAGTGTAGTCAGTAAATATTTACTGAACCAAATTAGCAAAGCCATATTTCACTTGTCACGCAGCCTAGCCCAGGACGGTGTCCTCACATACTCTGAACGAAGAAATAACGTTTTGCTCTAATTTGACCCTGAAACGTGGAGGCAAATTCCAACCGCTGCCTGAAAGGGAGAGTTTCATGCCTAAGAATCAGCAGAACAAATGCAGCAGGAAAGGGTCCTGCTGGCGTCGTCCGCCAGCATGCACCGGGCACCCAAACGCCTTTCCTCTGCAAGAGCAGAATGACAGAATAACTGAACAAAGCCAAGAGCGACTCTGCACTTCCATTTTCAAGGCTGATGCCCACAATGATCAGGAGGGTGGTTACCTGAGAGCGCCATCCTACTCTGGCAGAGTTTCGAAAGCCCATTCCTTCTGCTCAGATGTCTGCGGGCCGAGGACAAGGACTTGCTGGGCTCGGAGGCAGTGGTCTGCGCAGAGGGGCTCTCTGTGGGCGCTGGCAAGGAGGAGCTCCCGCATAGGGACCTCTGGTTCTCTTCAAAGGCCGCGGAGCCTCCGTCCTCCATCTGGAGACGGTGGGCCAGTGGGACAATCGTCAATTAGAAAATAAAGTGAACCTGATCAACGTCTGCAATGCAAGAACATAAAGGCAGTTTAACCAACTAATTCTTCGCAAGGCTGAGTTAAGCTCAGCCCCAAAGGACTCACTGCCAGCCTGGGCGGGAACCTAAAAAACAGCTTCGTACCAAAGTCGTGCTAAAAGAAGAAGCTCATTGAGTGAAATGCATAGGAAGGGATGGGAAAGAGAAAAGGAAAAACAGGAATAAAACAGGGCAGAAAGGATGGGGGCTGCAGGTCCACACAAACTGAAAATGCTCGCAGGTTAAGAAGAACGTTACCAACGGCACAAGAGCCCGCCAGCGTGGGAGGGTCTGCTTGGCCCCCTCGGCCCCAGCTTTCCCCAAATCCTGTGGGTCCAACCGGCTGCACCCAGAATCACCCATGAAACTTCCAACAAAATAGAAACACAAGGCCAAGGCTGAGAATCTGGAGATGGACTGGTACCAGATGTTTGTGTTTTTGTTTTTAACTTTTTATTTTTGGATACTTGTAGATTCTCACAGAGATATAAGAAAAAATACAGAAAAAACCCACGTGTCCATCACCAAGTTTCCTCCCTGGTGACATCTTGCACAGCTGCAGGACAGAGCCACTGCCTGAAGGCTCAGGCCGGGGCCCTGAGCAAGTGAAGCATCCAAGGGGCCAGGACGACGTGCCCACCCAGACAAAGACATTGCTAGAAAAGGAAACTACAGACCAATAACTCTTACAAACATGGATGTAAAAATCCCCAAGAAAATATTAGCAAATCCATCAAGTAATATGCAAAAAGGATAAAACACTACAACCAACTAGGGCTTGTCACAGGAATGAAAGGCTGGTTTAAGATTTGCAGGTCAATTGGTGTAAGCCACCATATCAACAGGCCAAAGAAGAAAAATCACACAATCATACCAAAGGATGCAGAAAAAGCATTTGACAAAATCCAACACCGCTTCATGAGAAAAACTCTCAACAATTAGGAATGGAGGAGACCTTCCCCCACCTGACAAAGAGCACGCAGGAGAAACCTACACCTGACCACACACCTGACAGTGAAAGTCTGCAGGCTTCCTTCTGAGGTCAGGAGCAGGGCAAGGAAGTCCCTTGAGCCTCTTCAATTCAGCACTGTCCTGGAGGTCTCTGCCAGCACACAAAGGCAAGAAAAAGAAATCAAAGGCATACATACGGGGAAGGAGGGCATAAAGCTGTCTCGATTCACAGAAGACATGACCATAAACAGAGAAAATCCTAAGGATTCACAAGAAGACTCACAACCTGATTTTCTGAAAAGGGCGTGGAGTTAAAGCTTTCAAACAGACATTTCACCAAAGAAGATGTACAAGTCTCAAAGGAGCGCACGAGAAAATGTCCACCGTCACTAGTCATCAGGCAAAGGCAAAGTAAACCCACGGTGGGCTATCATCACACAACTGCTAGGCTGGTTAAAATTAAAAAGAATGGAAATACGAAGTGTTAGTAAGGATGGGGAGCAGCTGGAACTCTTGTATACTACTGGTGGCAATATACAATGGGACATACACCCACTGTGGAAAGCAGTTTGCCAGTTAGGACACAGTAATTGCACTCCGAGGTATCTACCCAAGGGAAGGGAAAGCACATGACCATAGACTTCTACACAAATGTTGACACCAGCTTTATTCTTTTTATTTTTTTTTAAGACATTTACTCTTTCGTCCTTTTTTTTTTTTTTTAAAGATTTTATTTTTTCCTTTTTTTTTTCTCCCCAAAGGCCCCCGGTACATAGTTGTGTATTCTTTGTTGTGGGTTCTTCTAGTTGTGGCATGTGGGATGCCGCCTCAGCGTGGCTTGACGAGCAGTGCCATGTCCGCGCCCAGGACTCGAACTAACGAAACACTGGGCCGCCTGCAGCGGAGCGCGCGAACTTAACCACTCGGCCACGGGGCCAGCCCCTCACCACCAGCTTTATTCTTAATAGCCCCACACTGGAAACAGTCCAAATGTCCATCAAGAGGAGAATAAGCAAATTGAAGCACATCCACACTAAGGAATCCTGCTCAGCAATAAAAACGAATGAACTGGTGACACAAACAATGGCATGGATGAATCTAAGAATCGTTAGGCTGGGGGACAGCAGCCAGACACAGAACACCACATCTTGTAGGATTCCACTGACATGAAGCACTAGAAAAGACAAACCTGATCTATAGGGAGAACAGAAAGCAGAGCAGTGGTTGTCTGGGGCCAGTGGTGGGGAGAGCAAGGGGATTGACCAAGGAAGAGCATGAACGAATTTCTTCGAGTAACTTAGGAAGTGTTCCATGACTCGGCTGTGGTTGTGACTGCAGAAACATGTCTCAACCGTCAAAGAACTAGGTACTTAACGTCACTACATCTTATTGTATGTAAATTACATCTCAATAAAGTTAACTTTTAATGTCAATGGATGGGTAAAACGAGCAGGTGGTCACAGCTGAAAAGAAAACTAGCGATTTGGAAGATATATTTGAATAACTCAGAATGCAACACAGAGAAACAAGAACATAAAAATATGAGAGAGAAGTTAAGACACAAAGACTGGGACAATCTAACACCTAACTGCAGAGAGAATAGAGAGGAGGAAACATTTGAAGAGATAAGAGTGAATGATCTTCAATAACAAAGAAATAAATCCACAGATCCAGGCCCCTGTGAGGGCACTCAGACTACCAGATGTGAAATTCAAGATGAAACCATAGTTACTGGGTTGGGGTTTCTGGGCAGGAATAATAGAACTGATCAAAGGAACAAATGGGAGCCCAGCAAAAGGGCTGTGCATGTACGAACACTTGATATAGGACTGAGGGAATATTACTTATCCCTGAAGAAATATGGGCTATTCACATTCATATGAAGATGCTGGGACAACTCACTGTCCAGATGGGAAACAAAGAAAACAGAGCTATCAACACACCATCTGCGAAAATCAAAACACCAAACTTTTAGAAGAAAACTAGAAAGACTTTCTGTAAGATTTTGAGTGGGGAAATTATTGGGTGTTGGTTTTTTTGGTTTTTTTTTTTTTTTTTTAGGAAGATTAGCCTTGAGCTAACATCCATGTCCATCTTCCTCTACTTTATATGTGGGACACCTGCCACAGCATGGCTTGATAAGCAGTGCGTAGGTCCGCACCCAGGATCCATGCCTGCGAACCCTGGGGCCTCCAAAGCGGAGTGCATGAATCTAACCACTGCACCACTGGGCCACCCCAGGAAAGCTTTTTTTTTTTAACCAAGCAAAGGAACTTCTGGGAAAGTACTCCTTGCTCTTATGGCTGAACTTCTGGAAGCAACCACCTTTCTCCCAATAGAACAAAAGCTAGGAAGCAAATAGCTCCAATTGCTCCCACTGCTGGTGTACACCAGGAGCAGAACCAGCCTCAGGATAAAGCCAACAGAGTGAACAGCAGAGCAGAAAATGGCGAGGGTGTAATTTTGAGCCACTGGGTGAAACCTGCCTTCTTCTGAACTTCAGGTTTGGAGGCTCTTTACTCACCCTCAGAGCCATTCTGAGACTTCATCTGTTTCTTGCATCAAGGCATCCTAAAGAATACCCAGGATGATGGCGGTAAGCAAAGGGCGCCAACCAGATCCCAAAAGTCACCAAAGGCTTTGTGGAAGAGGCATCAGCAGAGCTGAGCCGGGCAAAGTGAGTGAAGAAGCCTTCCAAGCAGTGGCACCTTAAGGCAAAGACTCCCACAGTGCCCTCGGGGAGCAGTCAGTACACAGGAGAGTAAGTGGAGGGGGCCCACTGAGTTCTGGTAGAACTCCCAGGGCCGCCTATTCCTGCCCAAGCAGTCTGGGTTTTATCCCAAAGATTGACTTTAAGGGTTCTACACTTGGAAGTAACATGACCAGATATGCATTTTGCAAGACCACTCCAGGGGCAAGGCGGGGGCAGGGTTTACAGTAATCCAGGCAAATTATGAGGCCTTAAATTAAAGCAATGGCAGAAAGATGGAGAGGGGAGCCCAGAAGAGAAAAATCGACATCGAGTTGACACAGAAGTACTGGGTGATGAGATGTGGAAGGTAAGAAAGGAAAAGGCATCAAGACCACATCCCAAGTTTTCAGCTCAGGCCGTTTTCTGGGAAAAGGAAAACCGATGAAGAGGAGATTAAGGATAAAGCCCAGGGATGCATGGGACATCCAAGTGGGGATGTCAGGAAGCAGTGGACATGCACACTGCGGCTCAAGCATTCACCCACAAATATCCACTGACTAGCTCATGGATGCCAGGCACATCCTGGAGCTCACCTCCTGGGAGGAGGATGGACACTACTAAGTAAACAAAACGCACAGTTAACCTTAGGCGAGAGGACCGAGTGCGGGTGGGTTAGGCCGAGGCGGGGCGTTGCGGCGGTAGGCGCAGTGCAGCCCCGGGGCCCGCAGGGTGCGGCGCCGGGCGGGACAAACGGCCGAGACGGCGCGGGCCACCATCTGGCCAGGGCTGCAGGAGGGGGCGCGGGTAGCGCAGGGGCACAGAGCTCGTGTTGGGCTCGTCCGAGGGCCGCGCCAGGGACGGGCCGAGGCACCCCGCGGAGCCCAGATCGCCCCTCTCCAGTAGGCTTCTCACCTGGGGCGGCAAGGGTCACCCGGCCACGCTCGCTTCTCCCCGCCGGCAAAGAGCTGATCCTCGCCCGTAGCCCCACTGACCAATCGCAGAGCGACTCGCGCCAATTGACATGCGCCACGAGCCAACCAATGGTGCCTGTGGGCGGGACTCAGCGAGCCGGAGCTGAGAAGCCCGCGCTAACGGTTGCTAGGGACGCACCGGACTCCCCCTACGGCGCCTCGGAGGAGCCGAAAGAGACGGCGCCTCCGCCCCCCAGGTCGGGCGGACGCAGTTTCCTCCGGTCTCGGGTTTGAGAAGGGTGAGCAGCGCGGAGCTCGCCTGGAGGCGAGGGGCACGGGGCTGCTCCCTCACGGGCCATGCTTGTCCGCGGGGCCTAGGGCCGGTGGAGGCTGCGGCGCTCTTAGTGGGCTGGGTCGGCATCCCGGGCCCTGACCGGCTCTCTGGGCACCTGCAGGCACTGCCGGCCCCCTGCCCTGGTCCCAGCACGAGCGCGGGCGCCCTGCGCTGAGCATTAACGGAGGCGGCCCCTGCGCTCGGGCTGGATCCGCGCGACGACGCCGGGACAAGGCCGACCCGTCGTACTTACGCGGCCCGGAGGCCGGCACTTGGCAGCCCTATGCCGAGACCGCCTGGCCGTGCCCCTCTAGAGCCCAGAGCATCTCCCAGACTCCTCTCCGCTAGCCTGCAGGTTCGGCTCCAAGCGTGCGGCTCCGACTGCCCCGCCTTCCTCCCTGCTTCTCGCCACCAGATGCCTCTGGGAGCTCTCAAATTACCTGCCCCCGAGGAGGTGAGACTGGCGGTGCGGGGGGCTGAGGGCGGGCGCGGCCTCGCGCACGGACTTCAACTCCCAGGAAGCGCTGGGGCCGCGCAGGCGCGTCTGGGGTCAGCCGCCCACCCCCCGCGCTGGGATTCCGTTGGCTGGGTCAGCCCTGAGTTGGGAGCCCTGATTGGCTGAGGGGCCTGAGGCGACAGATTCCGGAAAGGGGAAGAGCAGCCAATATGGCGGAGGAGCGCGGCGGGGGCCAGCAACAGTCGCAGGAGATGATGGAGGGTGAGCGGCCCCGCGGGGCGACGGCCGAAGGGCCCGGCGGGCGGAGGGCGGCGGCCCGCACCGGCCTTGCCCGAGAGAAACGGGGTGTGCCGCCTCTGGCCGCGGCCGGACCCCGCCGCGCGGCCCCCTGACAGCTGCCTGCCGGCTCGGCGGGGCGGGGGCGGCCCAGGACCCGGGAACTCCGCGCCCAGGGGGCAGCGGCCGGGAAGACGCGGGCGGCCCGGGAGGCGCCGGACTCAGGGCAGAGGGAGGGGCGAGCGGCGGCGCGGGTAGGTGGGAGTGGCGATGCGGTGGTCCCGCGGGCCCCGCGCCCTCCGGCGGGTGGGGGCCTCGCACCTAACCCCTGAGCCTGATCCGCGGGTCGGTCCCTGGGCGGCTGACGAGGACACCGAGGCGCAGGGCGCCGTGGGGCCCCCCCACGTCGGCTCGTTGGGGAACGTGGCGGAGTGGAGAAGGGCCCTCTCAATGTGGGGATGGGGTGACAAGGAGCCCAGAGGTTGAGTCGTAGAAGGGCGGGTGCCTGTTTTCATAGCTACCATAGTTCCCGAAAGATTGAATTCAACCCTTTCGCTTTGTTGAAAAAAAATTATATGTATACTATGTATGCATGTAATTATATACACACATGCACGCTCTCACCCCGCGATGGAGAGTCAGTCATGTCTTTGAGTGTTTATGTTATGTTTTGAGCTTTTGGCTCCTCTGGTTTCAAGGTGGGTACAGAGCTCCAGAAGAGCAGCCACTGTCTGATGTGTAAAGTGCTAGGGAAGAAAGATGCAGAACGGGGTTGGGCAGGGGGGCCTAAGGAAGAGCTGGCATTTGGGGAGTAATGGCTGCGCAACCAAAGCCAGCTCCCAGCTGAACCTTGAAGGAAAAGTGCAGATCAGCCAGGCAGGGGATAGGGTGGGGGAAAGATCAAAAATCACTGCAGGCAAGGGGAACCACACAGAGGAAGGCAAAGGGGTGTGAAGGAAGGTGGCCTGTTTGGAGGAGAGTTTGACCAAGAGTGACAAGTCATACTGGATGAGGGCGAAGAGTGCCAGTGAGGCTGGCGAGAGATGGTCCTTGGTGGAGGGGTGTGAAGGGCATGAAGGGTCTTGGACTTTGAGATTCTTGGATCTTTTTAAATGAGGAACACCTCTTCCTATCTCCCTTCTCCCTCCGCCATCTACTCCTGCGTCCTCTTCAGCTGTTTCCAAGTCTTGGTAAATGACATGCAAAACCCAGGCGTTTCTCTCTTTCCCATTCCCACCCACCCAGTTAATCGATAGGCTCTGACGCCTCTACTTCCTTAATATCTGCAGATCTTCAATGCCTCTTCCATTCCCACTGCCAATACCTTGAGCCAGCCCATTGTCCCCAGTGCCCCAGAGTCACCTTATATGCTGATCTGCTGTCCCCAAACCCCCTGCTGCCCTCATGATAGTGCCCCAGGTTTCACTTTGGCTGCCCTTCGTGAGCTAAGGCCTCCCGCCCAGAGCTCAGCAGCACCAGCCCATTGCCCAGTAGAACTTGCTTTCCCTTAGCCTTGACCATGGAGCACCTCGTGCCTGGTGATAACTAATATATTAAGTGTCAACTGCATGTCCTGCACATGCTGTCTCCTTTTGTGCCTTTTCTAATTGAAGCCTGCCAGCGACTCTGAGATATAGGTACTATACTAGCTCCCTTCTACAGATGAGGAGACTGAGGCTTGGAAAAGGAAATAGCCTGCCAAAGCATTGTCTCTAGAGGCAAGGTGCAAACTCAGGAGACGCCACTGATGTTCCAGAAATTTTTGGAGTCTAAGATCAGATTCTCTGTAATGGAGAATAGATTAGACAGAGCCAGACAAGCCACAGAGAGACCATTTAGGAGGCTGAGCGGAGCCCAGGCCATAGGTAATGAGCTGCTGAGCCAAGGCAGTTGCCGGGACGGGGAAGAAGGAATGGGGGTGGTTTGGGAGATGCATTTCACAGGGACTTGTTTTGTCCAGCAGTCCTTTTCTGACTGCTATTTAGCTAGGCCCAGCGGGAGATAAAAGATGAACTAGAACTTCCTTCCTCTCAAAGAGCACACCCCTTGTAGGTAGACTAGTCAGGAAGGAGGGTGCTTTCCGTGTGATTGATAGTTCCGAGTAGTTTGTTAGTGCTTCAGGTCTTCGAGACACACTGCCAAAAGAGGTCATGAAACAAGTTAGGAAAAAGGAAAAGGATTTGGCTATCTTGCTAAAGAATTTTTACCAGTCTGCCACATTTAATCGCCTTATTTATAAATTCAAAGAATAATTGTTTACCAGCTTTTCAAAGCTTAGAGCTGGTATCTCTGTGTCCTGACAATTAGCATCAGTGACCTTTACATGGGGCATTTAGTACTATTGGCTGTCTTCTCCTTTTTTATTAGAGCTCCCCCCTGCCCACAGTCTGATTTGAGTTAGTCTTGATTTCTTTCAGAACGTGGGCCTCTGAACTGGGCTGGTTTTCTTGGCCAAATGGATAGTGGAGCATGGATGAAGGTATGTGGCGGAAGGGTACAATGGTCCCCTTACGTGGATATCCAGGCCAAAAGTGAGCGCACAGGAGGTGCTTCCCTGTGTGTTTAAACACAGATGACCCAGGGCTTTCAGAACACCTGGTAATTCTTGAGTTCCTGAGGGCAGGAATAGTATGTTACTCACCTTTGTACCTGTGTGGCCTCCCTGCTTTGCCCCCTTCCCCCCCAGTTCTCCCCACCACTGTACACCTCAGATGGTGCCCGGGATGTGGAAGACACTCAAATGTTCGTTGAACTGAATTCAACAAATGTTTTTGAATGAAGTCTTTTTGACTTCAACTGGACGTCAGTGTGTTACATGTTCCTCAGAGAGTCACATAAAGTGGATGTGAATTCTTACTGATGTGTGTGGGTTCAGTTGACAGGCGGGTCGAATCTGAAGAATCGGGCGATGAAGAAGGGAAGAAGCAGAGCAGCGGTCTAGTGGCAGACCTCAGTGAGCACAGCCTGAAGGATGGAGAGGAGCCAGGGGACGAGGACCCAGAAGGTACCAGGCCGAGTTAACCTGAAACTCGCTCAGGGGGAGGGTGGCCGAGTTACACATGATCTGCCCAAGGTGGGGGGGGCGGGCCGTCAGGCCTGGGGAGGACTGCTGTGTGAGCCTGGGCTTATTAGGCTAACTAGGGATCTGCTGATGCCAGGTTAGAGGCCCTCCCTGGCCTGGGGGCTGTGGGCTTGTCCTCTGGGAGCAGCACACCCTCGGAGGCACTCCCAGAGCAAGCTGACTCATCTACGGCGCTTGGAGGCAGGATGCAGTTTTTTCTAATCCCACTGAAGGCAAATACTACTGCTAATGATGTTGGTACTGGTGTGTCGTCTGAGACAGAACCAGAAAATTGTTTTATTAACCATATATTCAGAAATCAAGATTTGAAATAAGCGTTGTGGCTGACTGCTATGCTTTTATTTCCTACCATAGTAATATAAACTAATTTCAGAATAGTGCTTCTAGTGTCTTACAGAAGTCATTTCTGAGTCCTGCTTCACTATATTTGTAGGCCTGAGGGTTGATTTAAATTGCCTAGATGTTAGGAAAATTGTTTTATGTAGAAGATACCCCAATAGCTTCCTATTGTTTTACTAACAACAACAAAATGAATTTAGGGATGAGAAGAGTAAGTTCTCAGCCCATAGTGGTGGTTTTTCACCCTCCCCAACCATGATCTAAACCTTTTTTCCTTGTTTGCTTAGAAAATAAATTTGCATTGAAAAGAATGTGAGAAACCGTAAGAACAGACAGAAAGATGTCCAAGAGATATTAAGTGAAAAAAGCAAATTGCTGAACAAGATGCATGTTAAAATCTTATTTTTATTTTAAAAGTAATAATTTGTAGTTTTACCTGCTAAAGAGAGAACAACACATCAAACTGTTGTTGAGGGCCTCTGAACAGTGGTTTTAGAAGGTCTTGTACTTTCTGCATTTTTTAGATTTATACGCAATGTATGGATTTTTGAGGTATTAATAATCATGCATTACCCCTATGATAATAAAAACAAGTTTATAAAAAACAAAACTAATTTTTAGACTAACGTTGTGCTCTCTGTGCCAGTGAAGATGATTGGTAACCATGGTAACCTAATTTTAAGGCAAAAGGCGATTACCACAAAAGTACCAGTCACATTTACTTTGGAACTTCAAGTCGATGTTCTGGAAGTGCCATGGGTGGAATAAGTACATCGGAATGATGGGTGGAAGCTCTCATTACTGCCTAACTGAGTCACAGGAAGGCCCAGGGGTGGGAGCATCACCTGCCCTCACATCTGAGCACCTGGCACCTGTGGAAGACTGGAGAGTTGACAGAGCCCTGTCGTGGCCTTTCTGTCCCTGGGTCATGAGCACAGGCTTGCTACAACTCGCCCAAGTGTGCACGGCCGCAAAGTAGAACAGCTGGACTTGAACCTGGCTTGTGTAAATGCAGCGTTCTTTCCTCCAGACTACTAGCTAATTAGAAATTCTCTGGGAATATGCATTTTTAAGTCCTTAGAGAAACCAGTACTTGCTCCTGCCTGTATTTATTTAAGTCTTAGGTTCAAATAAAACAAATTCAAACATGTCAGCTGCTACCATTCACTTATTTTCTCTAACTTATTTTTTAAAAAGATCAATAAATGATGCATTTGGAAAGATGTTCTAGGCTAGCAACTTTGTGTTAGAGGTTAAGCTGACATTTCCAGGGGCCTGTCCTGAACTGGATGTGTTACAAGCAGAAGCCCTTTAAGCCATGTGACCACATGTCCTGAGGAGCCAGGCCCAGCTTCCACCTGCTAGCCCAGCATGGCTGTCTGCAGTGCCCTCTTTTACTCTCATAGTGGCCTGACTGTGATGCTACTTGACCTGGGGACCCTGCCTTCATTGTAGTGCCTCTTTCATTTCGACTTCTGAGTTCTTGGACATTGAATTTGTGCTGTCTTTTGGGGGTGGGGGGTAATTTGGGCGTATCTCTTGGTTTTGCCCAGCTCCTTTTGTTTAATTCCAAGGTTAGTTGATATCCTATAAGGCTGTGGTTAAACTACAGTAAATGACATTTTTTTTAAACTCACCGTTGTTGTTTGTTATGGAAAGGGCATAGTGAAAAGACCGTGAGGTGAATTCAGCCGGTGTGGGGCCAGCACTTTGTTAACCTGGTCCTATGTCGGGCGCACGTCTCTGGGGCCTCTAGTAGAGGGGCCAGGCTGACCAGCACACAGGCTCCCGTCCTCAGGAGGTGCATCAGCGTGAGGTCCAGCATGAGGTTCTGCAAGCCGAATCAATGCGGTGCAGAATCAATGCAGTTTTGCTGTAGGGAAGAGGCAGCAGTAGGAGCCAGGCAAAACGGTGACAGTAACGACCAGCTCACAGGAAATACAGGAGAAACAGCAGCCACACGCTCTGACCAACAGGGCAAGCTGCTAGACAGGCAGCCCCACCTCCTCAGGAGAAAATTGCAAGAGAAACTAGCGCAGTGGTGTAGCAGTTAAATTCGCACACTCTGCTTTGGCAGCCCAGAGTTTGCAGGTTTGAATTCTGGGTGTGGATCTAGCACTGCTCGTCAACCCACTCTGTGACAGCGTCCCACATAAAATAGAGGAAGATTGGCACAGATGTTGGCTCAGCAACAATCTTCCTAAGCAAAAAGAGGAAGACTGGCAACAGATGTTAGCTCAGGGCCAGTCTCCCTCACCAAAAGAAAAAGAAAAAATTGCAAGAGCAAAAAGGGATTTTAGAGAAATGTCATCCAGTCCCAATATATGTCCTTATTCAGATCCTAATTAAAGTGGACTGGGGGAAGAAATCATAAGACAGTTGGTGAAGTCAAAGAATGATGGTTACTCTTAAAGTGTTTAATCCTTGTAGACATGTATGCTTCAATAGGTCCACATGGAATGAAAGGGGCGGCTGCTAATTTGAGGCTGTTAAATCCTCAGTGAGAGTGGTTCCTGCAGCTCTACTCGGGCTCTCAGTGTCCCAGGAGACTGAGGCCCCGTGCTCAGGGTCGTGGGTCCTCTGCTGGCCTGAGCTCCCCGGCCTCCCATTGAGAAGTGTGTTTAAATTATTCAGCAGGGCTCCCTGATCCTCTCTGTTGAGCTGGGCTTCATTCTGTTTTGGTCTTTGCAGCGAGAAGCATTTGTAGATGCCAGGCCACTTTCCAAAGCAGTAAAAGGCACATCCTAGAACATCTGATATGCCCAGCACGATCCATATTCCACAGACAAGAAGGGAAAGACTGTGGGAGGGTGGACTGCTGCCACTTACATGGCTCTGGCGTCACCAGGAGGCAGTGGCAGGCAGCTCCCTGGCCCCTGACAGGGCTCATCTGAGGCTCATTCGGCCAACAGCTTTCTGCCAACAGCTTCAGAATACATTTCCTTTCAGGGGAAGTTCAGTGGCACAGATGGAAGTTTGGAGATCTCTGCCAGCAGCTGAATTCAGGAAATTCAGAGTGCTTAAAAGGTGACCATGTTGGAACAGGGTGTCAACCCTGCCACACCATCCACATCCTCCATGTATCACCTGCTGGTTTCTTTTCTGCATTCAAGCTAGCTCTGTGAGCCAGGCAGCCCAAGTCACGGCTCTCCACCCACGCCACGGCTGCTGCTTCCTGGAGACAGTGGGGATCTGAATGGACTTTTTTCTTCTCATTTTTTCAGAAGGACAAGAGCTGCCTGTGGATATGGAAACCATTAACCTGGATAAAGATGCAGAGGTAATGCTGCCTGCTCAGCCCAGCCTCAGGGTGTGGTGACGGACCACTCTGACCGTCAGGGTATCTTTTACGAAGGTGCCAGATTAGTAAGTGATTTCCCTAGAAGAGGTCGTCTGAGCCTCCCTTGCTTAGGTCAGATTCCTTGTGATCTTAGAGTTTGTAATGCCACTGATTGAAATCCCACTTCATTTAACCATTGAGGATTGTGTGGCAAATGAAACACCTTTGACTCATAAATTAAGTGGGTCAAATGATTATGTTGTAAACGATGGGGTCCTAACATCCCCACCATCTGAAAAGCACCGTATATTAACAATTCAGGATGTGAGGAAGACTGCCAGGAAGAGCAGACCCACCTGTTGCATAGTAACTGACCTGGGGGGGTCCTCCCCTGAGCCCGCAGCTGGCCCCAACAGTGATGTGACCGGGTGCATCTCCTCGGAGCCTAGGCTTGTGTTTTTCAATCAAGGGAGCTAAGGGTGACAGAAATGTTTTATGTATCACTAATTTGGAGGGTGAGTTTACATGAGACTATCTATCGTAGCTAAACCGGGGAGCGTCTTACAGCTCACCTGTGTGCTGCAGACTCCACCTGGCACTGCTCACCTGTGTGCTGCAGACTCCACCTGGCACTGCTCACCGATCCTTTCCCTCACCCTCACTTCCACCCACCCGGCAGGCCTCCTTGTAGCTCCTGTTCCAGGAAGCAGATCTTCGGGAAGTTTCCTGTAGCTAAGCGAGATTTCTTCCTTGTTTCAGGATGTTGATCTGAATCATTATCGCATTGGAAAAATTGAAGGATTTGAGGTGCTGAAGAAAGTGAAGGTGAGAAGGAGTGTGTCCTTTCATCCTGAACATGGCAGGTTTATAGAGCAGTCCGGAAGGCCAGGTGTCTTGCCTGGAGCTCAGGCATTGCATCGGACGTGCTGCAGCTCACTGTACCTCCATTCAGAGCCTGCCTGCAGTTAAGCACACACCACACTACGCAGTCCTTAACTCGCTTCAGTTCAATTTGTTTTTCAAAGTTGCACCCATTGAGGTTTGCTCTGCTGCGAAACAGCACACAGGCCCAATGCCTCCCTCACCAAGTAGGTCTGCTCGGTGCAGGGCCAGCCTCCCTTTGGGTGTCTGCTCATCCTCTAAGGTCAGCACCTTTCTAGAAAACAGCAGGAGAATGAAAACCACATTCTTCACCCTGGAAGGCTTGTCCTGTGTCCTGTAACACAGCTGGTACTTGCTTGTGGCCTCCCTGTTGCCTGTGTAAACTGTCCTTTTTTCTGTCCCCCAGACTCTCTGCCTCCGTCAAAATTTAATTAAATGCATTGAGAATCTGGAGGAGTTACAGAGTCTTCGAGAGTTGGATCTTTATGACAACCAAATCAAGAAGATTGAGAATCTGGAGGCACTGACAGAGTTGGAGTGAGTCATGAGACCCAAGAAGACAAAAGGGGCCTGTCTAGTCTCCCCAGAACCAACCCCCTGCCCTGGCTCTCAGCCCCTAGGAGGCCACCTCTGCCACAGGGCCTTGCCCTGCACCTGGCTCCCATAGGTGGCGTCAGCTTGTCCGCATTCCTGACCTGCAAATAAAACCTTTGACTGGACGCTTCTGGCTGCTCCACTCAGGGTTTCTGACATAATGTCTTCCCTCAACACAGTCCTGTGAACCTGGGCGGGTGTCAGGGACCCTGTAGGCTGCTCCCTGCCTCCCTGGGCGGCCGCAAGATCCTGCTCCTGGGTGGGTGGGTCCTCTGGGTGTGAATGCCGCCTCTAAGTTACATTCTGAGTTCTATGTGACCTCTGCTCATTAAAACATGTTTTGCTTGTTCCCAGAATTTTAGATATTTCTTTTAATCTGCTGAGAAACATTGAAGGAATTGACAAGCTGACACGACTGAAAAAGCTCTTCTTGGTCAACAATAAAATCAATAAAATTGAGAACATAAGCAACTTACGTCAACTGCAGATGCTGGAGCTGGGGTCCAACCGCATCCGGGTAGGTGCAGGCACACAGCCAGCAGCATGGCCTCTCAGGAAGAGGCAGCAGTGTGGACTAAATGCAGTGGGTGCAGGATGTTTGGTTGGCTGTGTTTTTCATGTGGTGTGATTTTTTTTTTCTCAAGAACAGAGAAATTTTTTTTTTTAAGAAGAAAATGCTAACTGGAGGCCTGTATTAATAAGAACGTGTGCCCAAACGCAGTGGTCTGCCCTTTCTTTTGCATGTAGATTTCATTTGCTCTCCATCCAAATCATGACCTAACTCTTTGCACAACCTCCCAGTACATCCTGCCAGAGGTGAGCTGGTCAGCCCCAGCACTCTGTTTCTGAATGTGCTGGTTGTGTCTGTGAGCCTGTCTGAGATGGAAGTGTCCCGAGCACAGCATGTTGTGGTGGTCTGATCTCCACACCAGCGGCCGTAGGAAGCAGCTCACAGCTTGCTGCTTGATTGGCCCATCCTCCCCAGACGCCTGCATCCTCTGGAACGAGCCCACGGCAGCATTAGGTCTGCCATTTACCATGTTCTGTCCAACCTCTGAGGGCGTTGGGCAGAGACTCTTGGGAAGCAGTTGGAGTTCCATAGAAGCAGATGGAGGCCTGTACCCTGCTGACTTTCAACCACTGGGAAGAGCCCTGGGAGGGGCCACAGGAGGACTGACATTGGGGGTAGAGCTGCCATCAAAGAGGGAGGGTCATCACAATAGGGATGCGGACATCCACTGGCCAGATGACCACTCGACGCCCACCTGGCACCACAGTGAAGCCATGGCACCAAGCCTAGTGCTTCTCACTGGCCTTGCTGAGCAGCTGAGAGCAGGTATTTCTGAGCACTTGCCCCTCCTTCCGGCTTTTGGAAGTTTACAGCACGCTGCGGTGAGTCTGGCTTGGCCATTGAGAGCTGGGCAGGATGCAAACCAAGGAGCGTTGGTTCTGGCACAAGGGCCTCTCGTGACAGTTGCTAGTGGTAACATGGCCACAAATAGCAAAGCAGCATATTTAAAACTAAAGAGTGGCCAGATGTTGTCATTTATCAAGTATCTCTCTATGGAATCTTCTGGGAAAAAGGTGGTTCATCACAAATTAATGCAAGTGACAGCAGTTAAGGGTGCCCTCCCCCTGAATCTTCATCCTCTTAGACACCCACCCCCCTGAGCCAAGTCCTGCTGTGATGGGCAAGACGAGATGCACTTTCTGCTGAAAATGTTAATAAGTGACGTGTTCTAAGAGAGCAGTGAGCTTGGAGGAGAAGGGGAACTGAGGTCTAGTCAGTAAGCACTCGTTAAACCGCCTGCTCTGCACAAGGCCTGTGGGGTTACAGTTGAATCGAGGGGCACAGGATCATAGCAAGGAGAGGCAAGGAGGGAGGCTCACAGAAACTGAGGGAGGGGGAGAGCCATGGGATGCGGGCACTCTGCTCCCAGGAGTCCTGAGTGGCATCCCTGGGCCAGAGCTTCCAGCATCTCTCATCTGTGAAGACCTGGGATCTTGGGAATGCATTTTAACAAGCACTGTAGAAGAGCACAATAATGTGTCCACTCAGAACCGTAGAACTGGGTGGGACTTGAGAAGTCCACTCGTCTCTGGGTCTTCAAACTGTGTTCCCTTGAACTTCAGAGCTCTGTGAAAAGTTGGCTTTGGGAGTGAGCCAAAGAGACAAGGCCTTGGACCCTCTACCTTTTCTGTTTTTTCCTTACTGTACTTTTAAGTGAGATTTCATTGGAAAAATTTTCAGAGCGGAAAAGTAACTTGCCCGACATCTCAGGGCTGAAATCCAGGTAGCTTTGTCTCCTTGCCCAGTCACCTTTCCTTTCCCTGCTGTAGCTGCTTGGCCACACAGTGCTAACTGCTGCTCTGTCCTTTTCACAGGCAATTGAAAATATCGACACATTAACCAATCTGGAAAGTTTGTTTTTGGGGAAAAACAAGATCACTAAACTTCAGAACCTGGATGCACTTACCAACCTGACAGTCCTCAGCATGCAGGTATCAGCCCGCCTGCACTTCCCATCCTGCTGAGTCCAGCTGCGGCCAGAGCTGCTAAACCCACTGTGGTTTTTATCTTTCACCGTGTCCGTGACCAGTACTTCTTTTCACCATCAGTCAGCAAAAAATGAGCCATCAAAACGTTAGATTTCACACACTTAAACATACATACACATGTCAAACTAAAATTTCGTTCGTTCAAGGTCGTGTTCCTTTTCCTAATAAAAGTCCTAGGTGGTTTTTTGCCAGAGCAGCTTCTTCAGAAGGTTGAGCCTGTTCTAAGTTCTCCCGAAGCGTCTGGCTCGATGGTGGGAGCAGTTCCTTCCGTGTCTGTACAGGGAGCAGAGCCCCTGTGTCTGGGATTGGGAAGCACCTGAGGATGCCGGGGCTTATGTCATCTTTTTTGTCAGAAGCAAATTAGTGGAATCAGACCCTCCAGGGGAAATGTGAGAGGGTGTTCTGGGGACAGGGCCTGGGTGTGGCAGGTCCCACAAAACCACTCATGCCTTCTGTAAAGTAGATATTCTGCAGATGTCTTTAAAAAAGAGGGCATTATATTTTAATTTGAGTTAAATATATACTGGAAGAAATGAGAATTTACTTTAAAGTATTCAGTGATTTTGACCTCTTTTAATTACTGTAAATTAATTGAGCTAGACCTTCCCCAAGTACATCTAAAAAAGAGTGAGTTCTTTGCATAAAAGCCTTCAAGTCTCACGCATGAATTTTAGCCCAGTACAACAGACTCAAAATGTTGATCTTCTTTTTCTCTCTACACAAGTCCCATTCTGGCATGCTTTAAATGGAGTGTCCTATTGTTAGGACTCTACAAGATAAGAAACCTCATTTCCTAAAAGCCATTTATTTCCCACCCTCTACGCTGTTCTGACAGCTCTTGGCTCTCCTTCTTGTAGAGCAACCGGCTGACCAAGATCGAGGGTCTGCAGAACCTGGTGAATCTGCGAGAGCTGTACCTCAGCCACAATGGCATTGAAGTCATCGAGGGCCTGGAGAACAATGTAAGACCTCTGTAGTCTGTCCATCTGTCTGGGGTGGTGTGGGCGCTGGGCACTGGGCAGCAGGCAGCTGGCTGACCAGCACATACCGGCCTCCGGGGCTGGTCTTAAGTAGACTCATTGCCTCTAGAGGTTTATCGTAGAGACTTTCCAATCCTGAAAACTAAGTGATCCCTCCTCAAGCTGGGAAATGCATGACATGCATGCAGTTGTCGCTGTCCCCTTGAGCAAGCACTGAGCTGCCGCTTTATGCTATGGTCAGGTCGGTGTGTACTCTCTGTGCAGGTATTGAGAGGGGCCCCTCCTTGGACAGTGTTCACTGAACGGCCACCAGCAGCACTGTAGGCATTTGGGAAGATTCAAACAAACCCCACCTGCTCCTAGACACCCCTGTGCAGCACAAGGCCAGCAGGCATCAGCAGCTGGCCCTCTCTCCCACTTCCCGGCCAGCAGCTGCCTCAGCCCCACTTCCCAGCCCGCAGGGGCCACCGACGCTTGTCTGGCTGTCCTGAATGAGTAACATGCTCCCCTGCTCTTCGGGCTCCTGCACATTCCTTCCACCTCCTCCTTCCTGCTTTTCACCAGCCCTAGCAGGACCAGGGCACCCTGCTCTCACTCAGCACAGGACAGCCTTAGGTGTGCTGAGCCCCAGGCTGCCACTGAGGCCCCTGCCCTCCTCAGCTGCCTACAGGTGAACCTGCTTTTCCTCAGTGCAGTATTCATCACAAATAAGATATTTTTTCTCATTCCATTTTGCTGGGGTTATTTTTTTCTGTTTTATTTACTTGCTGGCAAATGTAAGCAAATTGGGCAATTCTATTACTGTAAACACAGAGTTTCAATCTTTGTAGAGACTCTTTCGGCCTTTGTGCCTCAGCTCCTGGGCACCATTAGTGATGTTTGGACAGGAGAAGCACATTTTGAATTTCATTTCACCAACATCTGCATAAAATTTTGGACAAGTTAGAATTCACCTGTGATAAATTTAGTCACCTTCCTCTGCCTCAAAGTCAAATCGAGGGTTTACAAAACCAGCGTATAAACTAGGGGCTCACACAGGCAGTGCAGAATGGCAGGTCGAGGCACAGTTCTGAAAGGTGGGACTGTACAGAGGCCATGGGACCAGAGCTGGGCAGGTATGCACACAGGACGCTCAACAGAGAACAGTGGGTCCCCTGCTCCCCAGCCTCCCTGTGCAAAGGCCCTGCAGTCAGCACTGAGTATCCACCCATGAGAGGGGGGTGTCTGCAACATGGTCCAAATGAGCAGCAAGTCCCCAGGCAAATGGGAAAGAAGTGAGAATTTAGAATTTTCCCGATAGGAGTGCTGTGCTGCCAGAGGGCTGGGTTGAACACCAGATCATTCTTGGCCCTCTGAAACAAAACAGGAAAACGGCAGCTGCGGCTTTAAAGGTGATGCTGTTACTGTAGTGTTTGTCATGCAACAGACAGCCTTTCCTCTGGGATCTTTATTCAACTAGAGATCAAATATTCACCTATACTTTTTTCTAAGTTTTATCTCTTAATTTATCTGGAATTTATTTTTGCGGTGGGAGGTAAGGAAGTAAATGCAGTGTTTTCCCACATGACAAATCCAGTGTCCTGACACCACAAAGGAGCCCTGTCCCTGACACCGCAGTGTCCCCCTGCCCTGGGGTTTGCTCCCCATGTGCTGGCTCTTCCCGGGCGTCTGGCAGCGCTCCTGTGGCAGCCCCTCACTGGGGTGATGGCTGTGTTTTGGGTGTCGGAATCCCTGGGGTGCTTACTGTCCCCATCCTGTTCCACGCTTTTTTTTTAAGTAATTCTTACTGATTTGCTTTTGAATGAGCTTTCAAAATGTAGTCCAGCTCCCCAGAAAACGGGGAGACGCTGCTGAGCGTGTGACCGAATCCCTGTGCTCAGAGGTTCAAGACCGTCCTGGTGGCCAGATGCCCTAGTGCTGAGCCTTTGTGCTGGGACTGCATGAAGATCAATCCTGCTGTGAGTGTCAGACCCCTTTAGCTTTGCCCATTTCTGCGCTTGCACACCGGATGACACCAAGCACCGCAGAACGGGAGTCAGGAGCTGGACAGAGCTGTGGTCATGGACCCGGCCTGTCCCTGCCCACTGCCCACCGTGCGTCCTTGGGCTGCCCAGAGGCTCCTCTTCGGCAGAGTTCTGCTGAGTCTCTGTTTTCTCTGAAACCCCTGACCTCCTGCAGACAGGACCCTCCTGGCACACTGCAGGCACTCGGCAGTCTGAGCAGACGTGGTGGGCCCAACAGAGGCCGATTGAAGGAGCTCCTCGTCTGCATGCCCACGCCCAGCTCGCGCAGGACATGGGGCAGTCCTGTGTGGCTTCCTGAACAGTGACCCGGCCAGTGCTCATGGCTATGGGATGCTGGGTGTGAGGCGATGGGGACTGGGCCTTCAGGGAGTCAGAGCCCAGGGCCAGGGCGCTTCTGAATCAGCAGAGCTGCTCGCTGCGTGCTTTTCTGTGTGTTTGTGGTTTTTGTTTTATTTTACTGAGATATTTTTTAACTTTCCCTTAAACCTTGGGAGGGTTTGGAATCAGAATCCCAGGAATGCAGCAGGAAATGTAAGGAGAGAACCTCGATCAGAAATCAGAGAGGAAGGAAATGAACCTTTATCAGGGCTGTCAGCCAACTTCTAAGTGCAGCCCTTTGATTTCAGAAAAACTTACCAGTTGGTTTGATTAAACATACTTCAGCAGGCAATGCTAGCTTTAACAGACTGCATTTTCTCCACAATTTTACTCCTCTATTACATCTTAAAACTCTGTGGACTTTGAAAAGGTGTTACTCAGGCTTAGCCGATGTGTATTGGGAAGTTAGTATCTGCTGGGCATTTTTAGAACAGAGGATCAGGGCGCATAAGCCAAACACGCAGTGTTGTCTCTGCATGAAAGCACGCTGCTCACCCCTCAGCGGGCACCCAGTGTGCCCCAGGCACTGTCCTCAGGAGGGCCGAGTGCCTCTGTGCGCTCCTCCATCAGCTCTCGGTTCCAGGTCGGCACCAGAGCTGCTCTCCCTCAGCGCCCAGGCTTTCCTCTCTGCCCCTTCCTCTTGGTGGCCTCTTCCTAGAAGGGCCTCCTCCAGGAGTGCAGGCTTGGGACTGACAGCACCAACCTGCCACCTCCACTTGTCCCTGGCAGTTTCTTACTTACTCCACCCAAGCCCCAGTTTCCTCATCCATAAATGAGGAAAGAAATACTGTTTTAAGGATTACTTGGTATTGTACATTTCCTTGAGATCAGCACTAAGTAAACATTGCTACGATTGTTACCCCTTCTCAAAGCCCATCTCGGATGCCCCAGGCAGCCCCTCAGCCCCCCAGAGCCCCAGGCCTCCCTCTGCTTTGAGGCACATGTTACTCTGCTTTTCTCAGAACCTGGCATCTCACTTGGGTCCTTGTGCACTGGGATCTGGGACCAGGGCTTGGAGTCTTCCAGAATCAGGTTCAAATCCCAGTGATGATGAGATGAGGTGGTTGTGAGGATTCTGTCCGTAAACAAAACCAGAGTCTGTCCAGGGTGGGCTACAGGAAGTGGGCAGGTGTCACTGTCCCTGTTAGATGCTCCTGTTCTATGAGGGCAGAGAGGGTGGCTCACCCCGCAGCTCTGAGCTCAGCACCTGACACTGTGTGTGTGGTCACACAATCACTGTTGAACTGAGGTAATCCTGGAAAAATTTTATTTCCTTATTTTAGAACAAACTCACGATGTTGGACGTTGCATCAAATAGAATCAAAAAGATTGAAAACATCAGCCATCTAACAGAGCTACAGGAATTCTGGGTAAGTTTACGCACTGGATTGATAACACTTCAACTAACCTGATCCTGCAGAGTCAAATGTCATGTGCATGAATGCAAGGGGCTCCGGCCCTGTGAGCCTTGGGACAGAATGGAATTGGGGTGGGCACTACTGTAGGAGTTTGGTGTGCTGTTATTCTTGGCCTTGCAGCATCGGCGTTACTGGGCAGCCTGTTAAAAACACAGCATCTCGGGCCCCACTGTGCCCAGATGCAGACCGAATCAAAGTCAGCATTTTAACAAGATCCTGGGTGATTGTGGTACGCGTGAAAGGGTGATAAGCCTGATCTGTACGTGGCGAGGCCCCAGAATTGCCATCTGACTGCAGGTTTCCAAACCCAGCCCAGGGGCCAGTGCATTCAGTGCAGATATGTTGCACCACCACAGAAGGAAGTGTGGGTGGGTGTCCACAGTCAGTCATCCTGGAATTGGCCTTGTGTTTGTCTCATGGGCAGGGGTGTCGTTTTCGGGAGGAGTACTGCAGAGCCAGCAGGAGGAGAACCAGCGTGTAAGAAGTCTTAAGACTCCTCTAAAGGGGTTGCACAGTGATCACTGAGTCGAGGTCCTCAGTGTCAGAATCCCTTAGGGCATTCTCATGAGGGTGCTGCCTGTCCCCGAGCTCGTGGCCCCTGCAGGGATCATTGCACACGCTTCACCCTGTGACGCTGTGAAGTGAACGTTGTCCCCAATGCATTCACTCTGATCCAAGATTTGTGCTGAGTTAGGCGTGATTCTTCTTCATCTAGTTATGCTGCTGACCCTGCCTACGTCCCGGGTGTTTTCCTTTCCTCATCTTAAAAGAACATCCAAGTTTCCCTAGAACACAGGTGGCCTGCTGTGAAAATGTTCCTTGTCCTTTATTAATAGCACTAGGTCTTGGGTAGTATCAGGATGTGGTGCCAGAGCCTGTCTGGGAAGACCAGAACCGGAATTCAAAAATTGGTAAAGGTGTCCTCGGCTGGGGGAGACAACAAGCCACCATGTGCCCAGTGCGTCTAGTGTGCAGCCCACCCCTGAAGGAGGATGTGGTGGGTGGTAGGCTGGTTGGGTTGGAGCAAAGGGATTTGACTCTGAAGAGGCCAGGGAACCAGACAGAAGAACCAGACGACAAGAATAAGGAGTCCAGAGACAGAGGACCTGGCTGACAGGAAAGGGGCGCCTGGCAGAAAATTTAGGAAGAAAGTTTGGGAAACCAGCTGGTAATTAAGCAGTGTTTCTGAAATGTGTGATTCCTTCTGCATGCCCTGCCTAGGGACAGAGCATGGGACATGGGGTGCTGAGACCACAGGTGGGGGCCACCTGGGCACCCCGGCTATCAAGGAGGCAGGCAGGCTGGCAGTCACTGGAGGCTGGATCACACCCAACCCTGTAACACACAAAGGAATCCTGTTTCTTAGACCTCCAGACAAAGAGAGTAAAAAGAAGCAGAGTTTCCATGGTGCTTTACAGCATCCAGACCACTTTCCCTTTGGATCTGATGATCACAACAACCCTGTGAAGCAGGTGGTTGTACCCCATTTCACAGCTGAGGAATTGTGCTCCAGGAGGGGAATTGCACACTAGAAATTCTCAAACTCTGTTATCTGCTCATATCACGTGTGAGATATACTTAGCTACTACCTAGTCTCTAAGGGAGAAATGAGACACCAGTCTTAATAAATTTTTAATGACCCAAATTCTTTGTTTATTGATTTTCTGTCTATTTGTTCTACCAATTACTGAGAGAAGGATGTTGAAATCTCCCAACCATAATTGTGGATTTGTCTCTTTCTCCTTTCAGGTCCGTCAGTTTTGGGGTCTTGTATTTTGAAGGTTTTTATTAGGTGCGGATACATTTACGATTGCAGTATCTTCTTGATAAATTGTCCCTTTGTCATATGAAATGTCCCTCTTTATCTTTGTCATGAAGTCTACCTGTCTGTTATTAACACAGCCACTCCATCTGTCTCATGATTACTTTTATCGTGGGTATCTTTCTCCATCCATTTACTCTTAACCTGTGTCTGTATAATAATTAAAAAGTATTTCCTATCGACAATACATAGGTTTTGCCTTTTTAGTCCAGTCCGACAACCTCTGTCTTTTAGGAGGAGTGTTTGCTCTGCTTACATTTAATGTAATTTCATTTAATTGCATTTTGTGTCATGGTTGGGTTTAAGTCAGCCAACATGCTGTTTGTTTTTTATTTGTCCCATCTATGTTTTTTGTTCCTTTTTCTCTTTTCTCTGGTTTCTTTTTGGATTGAGAAAAAAAAATTTTTTTGGTATTTTATTTTATCTCCATTATTGACGTGTTTGCTTATACATACTCTGTTGTACTTTTTTAGCAATTACCCTACAAATTAAAAAATGTATTTTTAATTTATCACAACCTTCCTTCAAATAATATTACACCACTTCACGTATAACGTAAGACCCTTACAGGAGTATACTTCTATTCCTCTCTCCATCAGCTAATGTTATCATATGTTTTACTTTTAAATATGTTATAAACCCCATGATACACTGTTATATCAGTTATCTTTTAAAGAAATTTAGAAACAAGAAAACCCACTTATTTTACCATTTCTGGCATTCTTTATTCTTTTGTGTAGTTTCCATTTGGTATGTCCCTTCCACCTGAAGAATTTTAACATATTTTGTTCTGCAGCCTGCTATAAACCAATTCTTTCAGCTTTGATTTGTCTGAAAATATATCTTTATTTTGCCTTCATTTTTGAAGGATAGTATTACAGATATACAATTCTAGTTTGACAGTTTCTTGGGGACTTTTTTAAAAGCACTTTTAAAATATTCCGTTGTGTTCTGCTTTGCATCACCTCTGGGGAGAAGTCCTCAGTCGTTCTTATCTTTGTTCCTTGTGTGTGCGTGTCTTTCCCTCTCACTGCTTTTTATCACTGTTATTTTTTGCAACTTGAATATGATGTGCTAGTGCTTAGGTTCATTGAGCCTTTTAGATCTGTGAATTTATAGTTTTCATCAAATGTGGAAAACTTTTGAAAATTACTTCCTCAAAACTTTTTTCCACTCTTCCTTGCCCCAGTTTCTTTCTGAAACTCCAATTATACATATGTTGTCCATTGGTTGGTTGGTAGATTGTTGAGGCTCTGACCACCCGCCCCCGACTTGTGTGCTTCCATTTGTATGATTTCTATTCCTGAACCTCCAAGATCATGATGTTTTCTTGTATGATATACATCTGCTGTTAAGCTCATGTAATGAATTTTTTTATTTCAGATGTTGTATTTTTCAACCCTAAAAGAACATTTGGGGTTTTCTTTGGTAGGTTCTATTTCTCTCTTCACTCTGTTCACATTTCCTTAAATCTTTCCTTCTTCACACGGTTCGTATTGTTTTATTGGATGCTCGGCATTGTGGTGTTAAATTGTTGAGTGTCTGGATTTTTGTTGCTTTCCTTTAAATTGTATAGTTGTGCATCACTTAATGATGGGGACTCATTCTGAGAAATGTGTTTTTAGGCAATTTGTCATTGTGCAAACATCAGAGAGTGTATTTACGCAAACCTAGATGGTAGAATCTACTACACACCTAGGCTATGTGATACTAATCTTGTGGGACCACTGTCATATATGCAGTCCATCGTTGACCGAAACATCATCATGCAGTGCGTGACTGTGTTGAACTTGTTGTGTGGCAGACATAAGTAAGTGCTTGATCCCTTTGAAGCTTGTTTTAAGCTTTGTTAGTGTGAGTCTGAGAAGCCTGTCCTCTAAGGCTGGGCTGCAACCCTTCTTGGGTCTGTAGTGAGCATCCTGGGGATTTAACAAGGTCTGGCGCTCTGGTTCACGAGATCACAGACGCGTCCCTTCCCTGCATGAGCTGTGGTCATTGTTCAGCTCGTAGCTCCCTGGCATTTGTTCTTTGACCAGTCTTGTAGGGTTTCACTCTGCCGTTCACAGCTTAGTTTTCAGTCCGAGATTCAAGGGGACACCCAAGGATTTCTGGAGCTTTTTCTTTTTCCTACGTAGCTCATTCCTCTCCAAAAATTCCAGCTGCCTCTGCCTCCCCAGACTACATTCACCACCTCAACTCAGTGTGGCCACCAGGCTCTGCTTGGGTTCCCCCCCGGGGTGGTCCAGAAGATATCTCCAGGCAGAAGGCCAAGAGGAGCATGGAGCTCAGCTCATTTGTGTCTCTTCTCTCAGGAATCACTGTCCTGTGTAGCCTATTGTCCACAGTATGCAAACAGTTGTTTCATATATGTTTGTCCTGTTTTCTGGTTGTTTATGACAAAACAAGCAGTCCATCACCAGTTACTCCATCATGGCTTGAAGTGGAAGGCCTATTTATTTAGTTTTATTTTTGTGTCTCTGTCACCCCTATAGACTGTAAGCCTCCTGAGGGCAGAGGCATGCCCTCACCCAGCCCCTAGAGTAGTACCTGGCACGTACTTGGTTGAGTGAGAGGCAGGAACATGGGGAAGGATGGTTGGTCAGTTGGGTGGAGGTCAGCTGTAGATAAGGCTGAGAAGTGTGCTTGCACAAATATATCAGATGAAGGTTGATGTCCTTATGTTAAAAATGGCCCATGCAAAGACACCATTGGAAAACTGGGGGTGGAGCATGAACAGACGAGTCACAGAGGAAGAGGTAACAGTTGCTTGTAAATACATAAAACATTTCTCTCTCTTAATTTCTTAAAATACACTAAAACAATGAGGTGCAGTATTCCAGCTGTGAGGCTGACAGAGCCTTTTGTGGAATGCAGTGGCAGCCATCTGTGATGCACCAGGCACTCCCCTGACTGCTGGCAGGACTCTGGTGACACAGGTGTCTGTGGGGCATTCAGAGCCTCGATATTTTCACGTCTCAGGTCCTAACAAAATGATGAGAAATTCAGACAAAGATTTATGTACAAAAATATATAAATATCAGGATTCATTTTTGTACAATGGAAATAGCTTTGTTGTATTTTCTCGTGATAAAACTCTGTCTGCTCATTGTAAAAAGGAAAAAGATCAGATTACAAAAAAGACAGACAAACCTATGTCTTTTCCTTGGTTTTCTGTCTTTTGTGTCAGTTTAGAAAAGGTTGTAAACCCAAAGCTGATAAAAACATTTACCTGATTTTCTCCCAGAAATTTATGGATTTTTTTTGTTTTGTTTGTTTGTTTTTTTTGGTGAGGAAGATTGGCCCTGAGCTAACATTTGTTGCCAATCTTCCTCTTTTTTTTTTTTTCTCCCCAAAGCCCCAGTATCTAGTTGTATATCCTAATTGTGTGTCCTTCCAGTTCTTCTGTGTGGGACGCTGCCACAGCATGGCTTGATGAGCAGTGTGTGGGTCCATGCCCAGGCCCCTAACCAGCAAATCCTGGGCCTCCAAAGCAGAGTGCATGAACTTAACCACTCTGCTACCAAGCTGGCCCCTAGAACTTTATGTTTTTATTTTTCATAAATAGATCTTTTCTCCAACTTAGGGAAAAATAAATTATGATATACTCATATGATGAAATTTTATGCCACCATAAAATGAGGCCTTCAAATGATATTTGTAAAGGAAATTTAATTACAGAAAAGTCCTCATGACAGAGTATTAATGAAAAAAAGGAAGATGCAAAGTATTTTTGATGAGATCCAGTTGTTCTTAAATTCAGTGCATGTGGATGCACACCTGCACAGAAAACAAGACTAGAAGGAAATATGCAGAAACAAGAAGCCCTCATCTCTGAATTGTAAAAGTGTAGTTGATTTTTCTTTCTCTTTACACTCTTTGGTTCTTCTAAATTTGCTAAAATGAGCACGTATTTCTTTCATAATTTAAAAAAGTTTAGAAATGTATATTCTGAAAGAACAACAGGTAAAACTTACATGCAGTATTAACCCTGTTGAAATATATACGCTTGCGAAAAAGGCTGGAAGAAAATATAACAAAATAGTAACAGTGGTTTTCCTTATGTGGCAGGATTGTGCATGATTTGTACTTTTTATCCTATATTTTGCTATTAATTATACCAGTTTTTGGCAATGAACATTTTTATCAGGGGAAAGAAATGGAAAAGGCAGGTGTATTTTTGCGCGTTTTTGCATGAAGGCTCAGCTGAGACTGGGGAAGGCTGGAAGCTCCTAAAGAATGCAGCGTGGCTCCTGGGAACCCTGGTGGCCCGCAGACACCCGGGCCCTGGCATAGCCATCACGCTGCGCTCCCAGCGGGCTGCTGACGTGGGCTGTGGCAGTGGCAGCAGGGTTGGAAAGAAGGGAATTAGTTCAAGAGAAACATCAAAGGAGGATCAGCAGAAATCCGTGATCAACGGAGGGAGAGGTGACGGTCACAGCTGAGTTTCCAGCAGGGAGACCGTGAAGTCAAGTGCCACCGGCCAGATGGCTCCACAGGAAGAAGGCAGCAGCCAAGCTGGGGAGCTGTCTTGATAGCTTCCTCTTCACCCATGTTACAGCTCACGAAAATCAGCATGGACAAATTCCAAATAAGGAGTATTTAGTATCATACTGCCCAGAATAAATAAATATATATATGCGTATATACAGTGTAAACAAGAACATATGTATATTTCCTTAGTTTTCACAGAGAATCACCAGAAGGCAGTATGAATGGTTATCTGTGGGGCGTGAGGGGTTTAGATGGGCAGAGGGATAGAATGAGACTTCTCAGAATATACCTTTTTGCGTAGTTTCCGCTTTTGAAAATACTTTACACATTAA